ACCCCCCCCCCCCCCCCCCCCCCCCACACCTCGGTCGCTCCGCCGCCTCCCTTGATGGGCGAACCTGCGCCCGTTGCCGCCGGCTTGGCGTCGCACACCACCCACCCCCGATTCGCAGCGGATACCATGGTGGGCGAGGATGGGCCGATCGCCAACAAAGTCTCCCTCGCGGAGGCCATGGTCATGGCGGGCTTCCTGTCGGTGCCGCTCTGGAACACGCTGCAGACCGCCATCTTCATCTTCCAGTTCTTCAAGCGCTTCCCGGGCCTGTACTTCTGGAGCATCTCGGCCGCCAACTTCGGCATCCCGCTCCGCCAGGTCACGGCGCTCCTGCGCTTCCTCGGCCTGGCCCCCAAGGCCATGCTGCCGCTCAGCAGCGTCGGCTTCTGGGCGGGTGGCGCTGCACAAGGCGCATGGGGAAAGCTCCGCGGCGGCGGCGGCCGAGCTGGGGGACATTTTCGGGGCGGAGAGCTCCGAGACCAACCCGAGGAAGGATTCATCGACGACATCAATATCTGCTTAAAAGAGATCTGGCTTACATGCACCCAAGGGTTGTGTATGCTGGGGGCTTGTGATAATTACCAATAGTATTTAATCCACACGTGAGAGGAATTTTTTCTTTCGACTGCCCGCCCTTTTCTGTTGCAGCGGTGCCTTGAGATTCGTCCTAACCAGCGCATTACGGCTCAGAGTCCCGCCCCTCCTCTAGAAATTCTTCAATCGGACGGGATCTGAAATGCTTTCTGGGTGGGCTGTCGGGCGCTGGGAAAAAGCATCGAGACTGCCGGGGAGCAAACTTATGCTTGGCGCCGCTTCGTCCAGCAGCGGGTATAAAAAAAGGTCCAAACGAAAAAAAGAGCAAAAAAGATTGCTGCTCAGCCTCGAGGGTGAGCAGGTACGAAACCAGCCGGTGCTGGTTTTCTTCGACCGTGAGTGCACGGGTGATCGAACTCGGGCTCTTTCGGAAGAGTGGGCTGCCCGTGCAGCCAGTACGCCACCTAGAAGGAAGAGAAGATATGTTAGTATCTGTTGTGACTGCAACACGTCGAAGGGCATATATATGGCTTTGGGGGGGCAATGCACCGCGAGGGCAGGCGCGTTGCGAGGAGCACGGGCCCGCCCTCGTCTGATATACCAGGCTCCCGCCAGACGACGGGCACCTGCCACCAGTTTGATGTCCCGCCTGGGGTCTGCCGCACGGTCAGAGGCCATATGTACTCGGTACGTGGGAACGGGAGCTGGACATCTGCCACCTGCCGAAGGCTATGCAACATCCTGTACTTGGGCAAGAGAGCACCATCAGCTCTGCCGCGGGTTTCACCGAGCTCCCACCCCCATCACACAAGCTTTTCTGCAGCTGCCAGCTCGCGCAGCTCCAGATCAGGTGTTGTGATGTCGGGCATCACCGCCCGCCCAGCCACGCCCACACTGGCTGCCCTGGCCGCAACCTCGTCAAGTCCCGTCATCATTTAGGAAACCATCAAGCTTGATCGATATGAGCACCCACAGCCGCTTTTCATACCGCCGCACAGATACAGCCACCTCGACTTGCGCGCCCCAAGGTATCCGGAGCTGTGACGGAGCCTCTATCAAGAACGGTGCTTGAGGGCCGGGGCCCATGAAAACAGCTTCAAAGACACCCCCCATTGGCGCTTTTCGACCGATATCTTGACGTCCAAGACTCAGCCTCATCGCAATGTGCAGCCGCGCGGCGGCAGCGTCAGGCGCGCTGAACAACCGCCGGTTCGCCAATGGCGTGCCCAGCAACCGCTAGACTGGGAAGCCCTTTGGACGCCGGTGGTAGTCAGGGCACAACAGAGAGGTACGTGCACGTGGGCCGGGCTCTATATGGGCTGCAGAAGACTACTTTGCGGGCATGGAATAATATTACGAAGAAGGACTAAAGCGGTCGAATTAACCATGTGTTTTATCTAGCCCGAATCCCCACGCTATACCTAGACGCATCTCACTCACCGCCCTCTACAGCTTCTTGTTCGCCCAGCCGATCCTCGGGCCGGCTTGCGCGTCCTCGTAGACGACGTAGGCGGCCTTGTGGATAGTGGTGCCAAAGACGTTGATCTTGGTGCCGTCGCCGAGGAAGTCCATCCACGCGATCTGGAGCCCGCCGAAGCACTTGCCGTTGCGCTTGCCGTCGTCGTCGGTGAGGGCGCTGTACTTGATGTAGCTGCCGGGGACCCTGATGTCGGTCTGGCCCATCCTGACGAAGAAGTCGGGCAGCTTGGAGTCGCAGGGGAAGGCGTAGCCGCCCTGGGGGCTGTCGTAGTACGAGCCCTTGACCTGGGCGTAGTAGGGCTTGCAGATGCTGTCGGGCAGCAGGAGGAAGGTGGTGGCCGTGTCGGCCACGCCCAAGAGCGGCTCGGCCTTGAAGTTGTCGGCGCTACCGATGGCGTAGCCCGAGGCCGTCATGTTCCAGGAGAGGTTGCTACTGTCAACAGGCAGGTACGACAGCTCGCCGACGTAGCGCTCCTTGGGCACGACGCCGAGGTCGACCCAGCCCGACTTCTTGTGCCGCTGGTCGAAGCCCATGACGGGCGCCGACAGGTTGCCCTTGATGTTCTCGAAGAAGGACCGGGACGCATCGGCGATGCTCTTGTCGGCGATGTCCTCCCAGCCGCTGAAGCCGAGCGCCAGCACGCCGTCGACGCCGCTGAAGCCGCCGACGTCGGGCCGGCTGGTCTTGTTGACGGCCATGAAGGGCTGCTTGTGCTCGATGCAGTTGCCGAGGCTGATGACGTCGGCCACCATGCCGCCCGAGAGCGTGCCGCTGAACTGGCCGTCCTGGTACTCGATGCTGTACTCGAGGTCCATCTTGGACGCGGTCTTGCTCTTGGAGGGCCGGTAGACGCCGTGGTTGCGCTGCTGCTCGGCCGGCATCAGGTCGCTGTAGATCCAGCTGGTGCTGCTGTAGGTGTCGAGGACCACGTGCAGCGTCTGCGGCGGCGAGCCGACCTTGATAGTGGTGAGCCAGTCCTTCTCGCCGTCGTGCGGCTTGAGGTTGGCGCCGCCCCGCAGGCCGCGGCCGCGCAGGTTCGCCGCCGCCGCCGCCTCGCGCCGCTTGGAGGCCTCGACGTAGGCGGCCAGCTCGCGCGGCACGTGCATGCCGTGCTTGGTGTAGGCCTCGAAGAGCTCGACCGAAGGGTCGCGCCTGGCCACGCCCGGGCTGATGACCTGCGCGAGGGACGCGTCCGCCGTCTGGCCTCCCTCGAGGCTGAGGGCCGCCACGGGGCTGGCCGAGACTGCGGCCACGGCCGAGCAGAGGACCACGAGGGCCTGGGTGATAGAAGGCATCGTCGGGGGTGGTGGAGAAGTCCGGGGGGAGGTTTGTTTAACGAATGACTGGTGCTGAAGGCGACCTAGAGAGTGACTGGGGCTTCTTGGTGAGAGTGGCCTGGGGAGAAGGAGCAGAAGGAAGTGTTCGGTATGTGCCATGGCTGACGTTTTATATGCAGGGAAAGAGGATGCCATTGACGCCCCGACAGTCTGGTCCAGGCCCCAGCTCAGCCACCGGCTGCGTCCATCGACCCCTTTCCCGTCTTCGGCTTATTCCGGCAAGCCCTGGAGTGCCCTTCACGGCCCCGGGCTTGCAAAGCTTGTCTTGTCATGTTGCCGGGACGCTCGGAAATGGGATTCAGGGACGAATTCTGGGGTTCACGGCACAACGGCCTCGGCCAACCGAGCCCGTGGGAGGGCGGCCTGATGAAAGTGCTTGTCCCTCGGCCGCTCTAGGAGAGCTGTGGACCTCCCCCTTCAGGGGTCGCAAAGCTTAAGTCAACCAAGCTGCGGGTCAAGCTTTTACGAACTTTCATTTTGACAGACTTTTCTCAGGTTTCGCTTGCCTGTCGCAGCTCCACTTCCTTGAACGATCGGTCGAGGCCGAGCTGGGGCCTGCTGTGTGTCGTCCATCTTGCGAAAGCTGCCGAGCCGAGATCATCTACATGTTTTATTGACGTCTATTTTTGGCCCTTCGTATTACGCTCTCTTGGGAAGGTGCAGCAGCCTCCCATGCCACGTGATCCCTTCCAAAGACATGCGTTCGTGTCAGTTCACGGCCAAGTGTGGACAGTAAATGCCGATTACAGGGATAGACCCTTCCCGTTCAGGATTTGCGCCGCGACTCATTTTAGGGGCTTCCGGAACATTTTTCTCGCCGTCTGCCGTCGCCACAAAGAATGAACCCATGACGCGGCGCAACAGCCAAGTTCCAATAGAATTTCCAAAAGCCCCGGCGGGAACAAGGAAAAGCAAAGCAGCAGAGAAGAGGGGGAAGGGGGAAGTATCTGTTGCGCCGACCACCTCAAGTATTTGGCTCGGCTCCTCCAGACCAGCCCGAATCGGCGAGGACAGGCATCTTGCCGTGCCTCCCATCACATCATCACCAGGCTGCCATTGATGTTGCGTATGTAGAGATTGAGGTCGATCTCGGCCAGCGTCACCTGGCCGTTCAGCATGAGGCAGTTGGCCATGTAATAGCGCTGCTTCCAGAGGATGGTCTTGTCGCATGAGCCGCGGTAGTCCTTGGAGTACCACTACTAGGGTTGGAGGCCACCGCCATCAACCGTCAGCAGACCATGGGTTTCTCCACTGGGACCAGTGCACGAGGCTACAGCGGCCGTGGACAGGTGAGAGTCCTGCGCAGGCCTGATGCGACCGTTCCTGCGCAGGGTGTAGGAGAGGGAGCCAACAAAGAACAGAAACAACAACAAAACCTACAACGAAGCGGCCGTTGTCGTTTCCGAGCCTCTCATTCAGGTGCACCGTCGACCACGTGTACGGGTTGTAGGGGCCGACGCAGTAGCAGCGGAGCAGGTGGCCATCCTGGTCCTCCTCCACGCCGTTCCACATGTCGTACATGGTGCACGTTAGCGTGTAGCCGCCTGCGAGCGGGCCGACGGTCTGGATCGGGGGCGAGGCTGTCGCCATGTCGACAATGGTGTGGTGGGCGATGACGGGTCTGGATGTGGTCGCTTCACGTGCGCCGCGGTTGTCGTGCCCCGGATGATATTCCCGGGCTGCCGCGGCGGCTTCCGGTCGCAGGAGGGACTCGATGGGCTCGGGCCCCTTTGGTGCGGCGAATCCTAGCGTGGCACTAGGGATTGTGGTAGCGAGGGCGAGGGCGAGGGCGTGAACGGTGGCCTTGAGTGCGGTCATTTTGGTGGCGGACGGTGATGAGGGTCATTCGTACGTGCCAGGCGTGGTTCGTGATGGCAAGGGGCGGTTCTCGTCTAGGGTTTAGTATAAGTCTGCAGTGTAAAAAATACTTGGACAATGGTGGATACGTCGTCGACGGAGGGCAGAAGGCCGGCTGTGCGAGGTTTTAAAGTCGGATGTGTTGGGCCTGGAGGGTACTGGCGAAGTCGACACGGAGCCTCTCGCGATTTGAGATCGCTTCAGGCCTGACTGGGTCGCAGAGCAGGCGTGGTAGAGGCTAGCTGGCAGCCCGGGCCGCGGCATCTTCGATGGCGACGTCAGGTCCAAGGCAGCTACGACCTACGGGGAAGCAATGAAGGTATTGCCATCCTGAGAAAGACCGGCGGCCTCCCTGGCTATTACCTGCCTACCTAGAGACCTCCGTGGGTACCACCTACCTCCCTCCCTAGGCGATAGGTAGGTATTAGGTACCTACCTACCTAATTGTCACGGGATGTGAGCTCAAGTGTCCATCGAGCCTATACAGAATATATGAAAAAGTCCGTCTCCCAGCCGCTTCTAAAGCAAGGTAGGGGGGCGGCCAGTCCTATATTAATCTCCACGCCCTCCGCCGTTTCGTCTCCTCGATCCAAATACGAGGCCGGCCACCACGCTTTGAGCTCGTCGCTTAACGGGCCACGACCAGCAGGATAGTCTTGCAGGCTATTGTTCGTCGTAGCCGCCGCTCCTCGGGATCCGTCGGGGCTCGGGTCTTGGATCCGGCCGGCGTCGTACAGCTAACAGCCTGGAGGCTAGTGCGAGTTCGCGAGGTCGACCGTCGGAGTACTGGGCTGGTCCAGATGTTGGATGATGGGCAAAGTTTATTCAAATGCGAAGTATCTGTCGTGGGCTTGCCCTAGAGAGCGCTGTTATCGGACCCAGCACTGATACTACTTGAAGCATGGAATTTGAGCTTTACATACCGGACTACGAACAGGGGGGAAACGTGCCCCCGCCAAAGTCGCCCAAGCCAGTAAGGTCAGGGGCCCTCACCTACTTCCCGCTAATGATTCCGCGCCTCGGGCATCGAGCAGTGCCAGCCCCGCGAGCTGGCGCTTCTCTTCCGCAAAAATGCCGCCCGGTCGCGTTTGAATGTTGCCGAAAAGGCATAGCTTTCCGCCCAGCTGCGCTTCTACGGCATCCCCTTTACTTCCAAGCACACGCGCAGCGACCTCTTTGGCGCGCTCGAGGCCGCGCACAAGGCACGCAAGGTAGGTGACGTTACCAACAAGGCCATAGGCCACCGTGTGACCAGCGGTGTTTAACCGGAGAGCCTGCGGCGCCTCCAAAGTGCAACGAACCCCCGATCAGAGCGTCCCTCGAGTCAAAATGGCAAGAGGCGCTCCAGGAGTTTTACAAAGAGGATGATGCCTGGAAAGAGGGCCTGTGGATGCGGTCCACTCTGGCAAATAAGTTATTTCTCGACACCCAGAAGTTTGCCGAGTTCTATTTCCTCGACGGGCCGAATGGTAAACCTGCGAGGGAGAAGAATCCCGAGGGCGTCGTGATCCGGAAAGTCGCGTGTCGGTTCGATCCACTGAAGCACATCCCCGGCTTGGTCCTGCATCATTGTAGAGCCTCTGAGATTCTGATCGCGTGCTGGGAGGATACCATGCCCCGCGTGCTCGATCGCGAAGTTCGCCAACCTTGAGAGCATCAGGTGGCACAACCCAAAGCATTTGCAGGTGGTCGAAGCCAACTTTGATGCCGGTCGCTTCCCGGCCAAGTATTTCGGCGGCCCCGGCGCTGCTCGCGACCCTGGAAAGACCCCCCGAGCCGGTCGAGCTGGTCGAGGTTTCCGCCCAGCTCCGTCCACTACTCGAGGCGGGCGTCGCGTCCATCCCTGGCCTCCATCTTTGCGGTGAGGACAACGGGTGGGGGGCTTCGGCCTTTATCGGCTGGGGAGCTGCCAACGTGGAGGCAAAAGCCCGCGCGGCCAAGGACGCCCGGGATCGGAAACTGGCCGAGGACCGCGAGCGCGAGGAGGCCAAGGAGAGGGCGTGGGAGGAGGAGAAGCGGGCGCTCAGGGAGAAGCCGCACAAGGACTTCACGGCCACCTACAAACCGACCCCGGGACCGCTCACGCTCGACGACCTGGTCGGGAGGTGGGAGGTCAAAGACAGCGAGCCCCTCGTCCAACCATACGGCGACGACGAGATGTTCATGGAGATCACCAAGGCGACCAGCGCCCACGGCGCCGCGGGCCGGTTTTCCTTCGGGCTGGTCGAAGGCGCACTCCTCCTCGCCATGTCCGAGGATTCGCTGCACAAGCTCAAGGACGAGCTCGAAGACTCCGAGGACGATGGCGAGGAAGCTGACGGATACGGCTGTGGCGTGCCTGTCGGGAAGCGCAAAGTCCACCAAGGCGCTGGCGGGCCCCCATCAAGCGCAGGCTCGGCGAGGCACCCAAGCCCAACAGAGTGCATTTCTTCTGGACAGGCGGCCAGCCCAACGGCGACTATGAGACAACGAGCCCTAGAGAGGAGCACAGCCACTGCGGCCACCTAGACTTTGACCCGTGTAAGGCGACAGCGAAGGGTGTTTGGTATATTCCCAGTTTCTATGGTGAGCAGGCACTACAGCTCGAAATTGCCAAAGTCTCGTCCTCCCCTACACGAGCGAAGCCGGCCTCCCGGTTCCCGGGTATGTGTCATGACGATGACGCATCGGAAGACTGGAAGAACATTTTGAAAGCGGTTCGGAGATGGATGTGAGAAAAGCAAAGGAGAAAAACACAACGGGGGTAAGCAGAATTTGCCGCAAACACGTGGTGAAAATACAAATCTGCCTGAACTTGCCTGCCCCTTGTGTTCCAGGGCTACTGCTCCTCGACGTGCTGCAGCGACAGCAGGTCAAGCAGGTCCGGGGAAAGGTTCGACGTCGACTTCGCAGGCATCTCCAACGGGTAGCCCGGAGGAATGCCTCGCAGGGCCTGGCCTAGCCGTGGGGAACTCCATGTATCAAGCACTCGGGATACATGTCGGGCGATAGTTATGTCTTTTGGTTACAGGGGGCGGCTATAGACACGAGAAATAGGCTTTCAGCCAGGCCCAAAGGGAGAAAGGAAGATGGAACCAGATGACAGTGGTTCACAGCCACCAGGGTACCTACATACCGGTGAGAGTATGCATGTAGGATCCGACGCAATTGCGTCCTTGAACTTCTGTAAATACAGTTAGCGTCAACAAATACCGACCAAGTTTTATTTTGGGCCTTAACATATGGCGTTTTACTATGCAGCACTATATTTACAAATAGCGTTTACAATAAAAATTAATATATAAATATTTTATATAAAATTTTATTTATGCTAAATAAAATTTAAATTTTTTAATTATATTTTTTTCGATTTTGTAATTAATACAATTGAAAAGTTATTTGCGTTGTAATTTTTTTTAATTTTTTTTTTAACCGTTGTAATTTAGCAGTCGCTTAGCGCTAAGTCCGCTATTTTTCAACGGGTTCCAGCGGATCGACCCGCTAAAAAAATTGTTAGTGCAAAGCAAAAATATTTGCTTTTATTTTTAAAAATCCATAATTAAATAACGAAAACAGTTGTTAAAAAACGGAAAAAGCCATTATAAAATTTAGGAATTTAATTATATATTCGCATTTTTATTTTTTATTTTTAGCCTTATATTGTATGAATTTTTGGATATAAAGATGTAGAGTTTAGGGGGTTTTAGTATGGGGAAATCCGATTTGGTCGATATTTGTTGATCCCCACTGTAGTTGGATTTTGGGTTTGGGGTGTGTGGTGTGATTGTACCCGTGCCAGCCAATGCATGCATGGCTTTTGTGGCGCCCTAAATGACAGCTGGCGACTGCTGACGGGCAGCGGGCCCAGGCCCTCACAGATCGGCAAGCACACATGACTGAAAGCCTCTCACCGTTGCCGTGAGCTAGCGACGAAGGGAGACGGGGGATGATGGCGATCATCCCTACGAGCACCACCCCGGCCCAGGATTGACACGGACGACATAATATCGGAAGTATGTGTAGGAATAGCGGTGAAGGCGAGTCCGCGAGTAAGCAGTGCTCGGGGCAGTAGCGCATTTGATCCTGTCAGCCGCAAAATTTAGGAGAGCAGGCGGAAATTGTGGTGAGGCTGGCACACACAGGAGGAGCCTGGTGTATGCACGATGTGGAAAGGACCAAGCATTAGCGTCAAAGGCAAAGAAAGGCACTCTCCATGATGGGTGGGCACCCTAGCCCAGGCACTGAAGAGAAAAAAAAAAAGCCGACAAGAACCAGCAACCTGGTGGCAGGAGCAGGGCCAACCGCTTCCTCAGCCACGCTAATTGGCCTGCCCCTCCAGCTGGCTCCAACTGGCGGGTGCAGCCCCCCGCGCCAGTCGCCAAGCAGCACTAGCGCTGCAGTGGCTCGGTCTGATGTGCGCGAGTCCCCCCTCGGTTCCTTGTTGCTGGGAGTCCGCGCCGGTCCCACGCCCTGGTCCCCGGAACCGCTCTGTTGTTGCCTGGTTGTCATCTACAGGTGCTAGTGGAACCGCGATGCCTGGCCCTCGGCCCCCCCCAAGCGGCCATGAATAACCGAACCAGCTGCGCGGGAGCGGGCCACACGTTTTGCTCGATGAGCGCCAGAGCCGCAGGCCGCCCCATCGAGTCGTTCCCATCGAGCCGAACCCACTGTGGTGCCTACCGTCTTCCCTTTCACATATACTGCTCCCCGCCTGCCTGCCTGCTCCCTTCCCCGCCCTCGCGACCGACCTGGCGTCCGCCGAATCCCCCTCGATCCCCTGGTTATGACTGAAGCTAGCCGCGGACGCTGAGAGAAGAAGAAGAGTGCAAGAGCGACAAGTTCCTGGAATCTACCATTCGGGCTCCAATAGCCAAGAGCATCCTCGATATTTCCAGCGCTCTTTGCGTTTGCGCACACCGTTGCTGCCTGGGCGCCTGCCAAAACATCCGGAAGAAAATGGCAGGGTTCGAGGACAACGATTCAGGGTTTCATGTCGTGTGTTGCTTCCTCCAGTCCTGCCAACCATCTGGTCATTTTGTCTGGTCATTTTCCGACCTGCAACCCCGTCCGAACGCTCCCAAGCTGACTTTTTGCAGGATGCCGGATCCGACATCTACACAGGCTCCATCCGCGGCAGCCTTCTGGAATACCATGTGGAAAATGGCAGGACATACCACAAACTCAGCGAGGGCAGTGAGTCTCGCCCTGCGTTTCTCATTGAATGAAACCCCCTCCTTTACCCCTAACCCCCACCCAAATCCCCGGGCACTGCTGCGCGGGTCTTGTGTGTCCAGCTGTGTGGTTGGCACGGACACAAAGCTGCCATCCGCATGGCGCAAATGCCGTCCCCAAAGTACGGTTGCACAGTCGCGCACTGTACGACGGACAGTGGTGGGGATGAGGCCTCGGGGTGATTGGCAATGATGGCATATCTGCAAGCCGAGGATACCGACTGACATGGACATGATGTCTCCCCCCAAAAGAGTACATGCTTCCCAACGATGAGGTATGTCCCGTTCTTTACCGGTATTACGCCATGGAACCGGCTATCTGACGCACCTCGTAGCCTGAGCAAGAACGCATGGAGCTACTACACCACCTCTACAAGGTGACATTCGATGACCGGCTATGTCAATGTCCCAAGAACGACGGCGCCCGGCACGTCCTGGACATCGGCACGGGCATTGGCGCATGGGCTCTCGACTATGGTAAGGCGGCATCGATGCCATCTCCCAAGACTTGGTGTGCTGACTCTGTGTTCTCGCCTCAGCCGACAGGCATCCAGAAGCCCAGGTGGATGGCATCGACCTGAGTCCTATACAGCCAACCTTGTGTGCACATGGCCTCCTCAAGCAACACTTGTACACCTGGTTCTTGTGCTTACAGTCACCAACACAGTGTTTCTGCAAATTGTCGCTTCCTTATTGATGACATCGAGAATGATTGGGTCTTCTCCGACAGTTTCGACCTCATATTTGCCAGAGCGATGCTGGGCACATGGGGGATAGAGAGCTGGGAGAAGATTGCGGCGAATGCCTTTGAGTTGGGTCTTTCCCCCAGCGATAACCAAACTCGACAGCGGCTAACACTCTGAACCTTGCAGGAACCTCGAGCCGGGTGGCTATTTCGAGATCCAAGACACGAAGCTCCCCGTCCGATGCGACGACGGCACACTACCGAAAGATTCGCACCTCGTGCGCTGGTCCGAGTCGCTGCAGCAGGCGTCCGTCATGGCCGGGCGGCCCTGCGACCTGACGCCCAAGCTGGCCGGGGTGCTGGAGCGGGCCGGCTTCGTCGGCATCACCGTCACGAAGCGCCACTGGCCGCACGCGCCCTGGCCCAAGGACAAGCGCCTGCGCTACCTGGGCCTGTGGACGCAGCACGTCTGCAAGGCGGACCTCGAGAGCCTCATCATGCGCCTCTACACCCGCTACCTCGGCTGGACCGCGGACGAGGTGCGCGAGTTCTGCGCCGGCGTCAGCGATGACTTTGACAACTTGAGCTTTCATGCATATTGGGACGTGTAAGCACTGCACCTCTAGTTCTGGTGACATGTGTGCTTGCCGGTGCTGACAACTGATGGAACGGCTCAAAGCTACTCAATATATGGGCAGAAACCATTGTAGATGTGCCGTGTGCACGTGGAATCGTCCACTAGTTGTCTCTTTTGCGGTTTGCCTACTGCCCCTGTGCGGTGACGGAATACGAGAGCAGGACGTCTTGTCGAGTGTCTACTAGTAGCAAATGACAAATCTGTAGTCCGAACGGGTGCGGAGCTCGTATTAATCACACATTGAGGCCAGCAAGAAACGTGGGTCCGTCATCGAGCCACCTTCTATATCGGTGCAAGTATGACACAGGTCGTGCCGCCCAAGGCATTCACTGCCTTCCCAAACCCTACAAGCGCCCGAAAGCCTGTGAGCATGTCATCCGCGGCACGCTGGCCTTGCGGTTTCAGCCACAGCCAAAACCTGATCAGCTCCTGGATTCGCCTTGCTTCCCCCGCACCTGCGATCACTTGCTGTGATATCGGGGGTTTGGCGCCTGTCAATCACATCCTATTCGGGGAGGTAGGGCATCGGGTGCTGACCTAAAGGGGAGAGAATACGATAGCCGACTGCCGCCCACCCCTCAAGCGCGGCTGCGCCTGGCTCGTGCATGGAAGCCAAGGCGGAGTTGAGATTTCCGCGGCCTCGGGAGGAGGGTGCAAGTCCATCTCTGGCAAGTGCTGGCTGGCTCGGGAGGACCCGCAGCGGGCCTGTCCATGCGGCGGGCAGGCTGGGCAGCTGCTTGGCTGACTGGCTGAAAAATTTGGAGCGCGGAAGCCTTGGATGAGGAAGCACCTGGCGCTCGTTGACGATAGGCTTCAGATCCAAGGTGAGGACGGCGGGGTTACACAGTAGGTGAGGGACCCAAAAAGGGGCTTGGCACTTTGCACCTGACAGCCGGCCGGCATTAGATTGACAGGGGTAAATCCACCACCAAAAGGACCTGCCGAGTTGGGAACGTCCGAGCGGGCTGGCACCAGCCAACTCTAGCCGATGGAGAAGCTGCGCGTTGGCGGAAATGCCAGAAGCGTCGTTTGCGTGTGTCAAACTGCAGTGCTGACGCACCGCCAACGGCCCTGATGGGTGGGTTTCTCACGGCGCTTGTCGCTCCGACACGGCGGCGACGGGCCAACGGGTCCCCCGCAGCGAGCCGCCAAAACGGGAAGTTGATAAGACGAGGAAGGCCAGCGTGCACTTTTGACTCTTGGGCCAGCCAACCGGTGGGGAAGACGCGCCCTTTGGAACGCCAAAAGCCCAGCCAGCCTTTGGCCATGACTGAAGAAGAGCCAACGGGCGCCGCTATCGATATCCCGACCAGCAACGTGGTCGAATGCTTGTTGCCGTGGTGGCAGGTGGCATAGGCCCATGGTTAATATCCAGCGTGGCCGCCCGAGAGTGGACAAACACTGGGCCCTTATCGCAGCAGCGCCATCGCTCGACGAGTCGGAAGCAGCGCGAAAAGGGGGCTACCCAATATTCTCGGCCAGTGACAAATAACCGTGCTAATGATGAGCCGCGCGCTCGCCTCTCCTGCAACAGAGGCAGATCAATCCCGGTTACTACTCTTTGCTCGCCTTCCACGGCGCGCCGCCGGCTGACGGGCGGGCTATATAGCGGAAACGACGCGCATGCACCGTTGCGCACCTATGAGAGCTGCCGCCCGCCCACCCCCGCCAAACACTTGCGGTTGCGGCGCAGATGTGCCGGCATTGAGATTGCGCATTTACCCTGGTTCCCTCCCCAGCGCGTGGCCTCCCCGGTGACGTGCCTGACCGGCCTCGGCTCCTCTGACTGGAAACTGAGAGGCTGGTTCTCTTGGCAGCAACTCCCCTCCCCACCGCCCAGCTTTTTTTTTTTTTGGAAGCCCTTCCTCGCTCGCCGCACGCCCTAGATGTCAGCAATAGGCAGCAGGACAAGGGACGGTCAGCCCCCAAAACACGCTCGACGTCGTGGCGGCGGTTCCAAGTCTTGGCATCGCTGGGGAATGCAAGGGCGGTAGCCTTGGCGCGGGTGGTTCCCCAGGCCTCGGCGCATTCCCGAAGAGGAAGCTGGTAGTGCGGCTGCTATGGCTGCGGCGCGCGCGCGCGCGCGAGGGGGTGGTGTAGCCCGGTGCCGGAGCCCGCACGTCGACCGACGCCTGGATGGCGTATCATCTTGCATGCCGGGTAGGTAGGTAGGTAGCAGACGGCGGCGCGTGCGTGCTTTTATTTTTATTTTTAGAGGGGGCTTCGTGATGAGCTGCTATGATACTATAAGAGGGCCCGGTCCGTCCGCTCTTGATCTCATCCATCTGTCCCGAGATCTCCAGAGCACTTCTCACCCACTCTTGCCATCCAACCCCCAAGAGTAACCGGGAAAGCTCCCCTCTCCCTCTCCCCTCGCATCTGCTTGATCTGGTCGTCCCTCCCGTCGGTTTCGGTAACCCCCCCAAACACTCGGCCCACAATGTTCAACATCCGCAACCTCGCCGTCCTCGCGGCGGCCCTCGTGCCCTTTGGCGCGGCGGCCCCCGTCGAGACCGCCGCCGCCCCGGAGCCCGTCATCGACACGGCCAACAAGTACATCATCACGCTCAAGCCGGGCATCGCCGCGCCCGACCTCCAGTCGCACATGCGCTGGGTCGGCGACGTCCACCGCCGCAACATGCTGGCCCGCCGCGACGCCGACCCGCTCCCGGGCGTCAGCGACGAGCTCAGCATCAAGGACTTCCACGCCTACGTCGGAACCTTTGACGAGGCCACCATTGAGGCGATCCGCAACAACCCTGATGTAAGTTGATGCCCCAACCACCCACTGGCTAGCGCGTTAAAAAAAAAGAGAAACCCTCCCCACTAACCCCTCGCCTCTTCCCCCCTCTCCCCCCCGAAACTAGGTCGCCGACGTCGAGGCCGACCAGATCTACACCCTGGACGCCATCACGTCGCAGTCGGGCGCCACCTGGGGTCTCGGCTCCATCTCGTCCCACAACAGCGGCAGCACCACCTACCGCTACGACAGCTCGGCCGGCGCCGGCGGCTTCGTCTACGTGGTCGACTCGGGCGTCCGCGAGACGCACAACGAGTTTGGCGGCCGCGTCGTCAAGGGCACCAACATGGCGGGCGGCGCGCACACGGACACGCTCGGCCACGGCACCCACGTGGCCGGCACCGCCGCGGGCGCCACGTACGGCGTGGCCAAGGCCGCCACCATCGTCGACGTCAAGGTCTTCACGGGCCGCAGCGCCGCCACCTCGGTCATCATGTCGGGCCTGAGCTGGGCCGCCAACGACATCGTGGCCAAGGGCCGCCAGTCCAGGGCGGTCATCAACATGTCCCTGGGCGGCCCCTTGTCCAACGCCTTTGACGCGGCCGTCAACAGCGCCCAGTCGTCGGGCATCTTCGTCGCCGTCGCCTCGGGCAACAGCAACGTCCAGGCCGTGACCAACAGCCCGCAGCGCGCGTCGGGCGCCTTCGTCGTCGGCGCCATCAACAGCTCGTGGCGCGAGGCCTCCTTCTCCAACTACGGCAGCATCGTCAAGGTCCTGGCGCCCGGCGAGGGCATCACCTCGGCCTGGTACACCAGCAACTCGGCCACCAACACCATCGACGGCACCTCGATGGCCTCCCCGCACATCGCCGGCCTGGCCGTCTACCTGGCCGTGCTCGAGGGCATCTCGTCCCCGACCGCGCTCGGCAACCGCATCGTCGCCCTGTCCACCACCGGCAAGGCCTCGGGCCTGAAGAGCGGCACCCCCAACCGCATCGCCTACAACGGCAACGCCTAAGCGGGTGGTTTGGTGTGTGTGTGTGTGTGTGTGTGTGTGTGTGTGTGTGTGTGTTGCCGATGTGTCGCTTCCCGTTGGACGCCAATGAGTGACGGCGTCGGCTTCTTTGTACATATAAACGATGTGAATACCAAGTAATGTTGCATATAACATGGCTTTCCCATCTTTTTTGGCGGGATGTCTGTCTCTTCTATGCATGCAGAGCGGTACCCTCCTCTATTTCCATCCAATTTCGACATTTCATATTCCAGCGGCATCACAGCAGCATGAGATTGTGCAAGTGCTTCGTTCATCGGTCGAGAATACATACAACGAATGCCATGCTCGTAGTAGCGACTGGAATGCTGGCGAATGCCAATGCGCGCACATGCCCTCCCTGCCACAACCATTTTCTCGCAACTTGCCCACTTCCAACGGTGCGTGAAGAAACCTCCCCCCACCCCGTTCGCCGCGTCGAGACGGGGGTTTGTCGTATATACAAAGCCGCCAAGCAAGCTTGACGAGCACCTGGCCAGAAGAGAAAACAAGCAATTTCCGGTTCCACTGAGCTTTAGACGTCTGGTTTGGCGGGTGGGTTCTTTCGTCAGCATATACTTCTCTTCATTGGCTAGTCAAAAGAGGAAAACAGCGGACGATGCCATCTACTTACTGACTGTCGAGCCGACGGGGCCGAAGCGGATGTTGCTCCAAGTAACCTTGCTGCAGGGGTGGGAAGTCGGGTCAGCACATAACCAAAGCACAGAAAAAAAGAAGCATCAAGTCGCAGCAAAACACAAAACACGTACGCGTCGGGAATGCTGGCCTCGATTTCGGACGGCACGCCCGAGTCCTGCGGGCACGAGCCGCGCGCGGCGCCCGGCATGCCCTCCTTCTCGGGCGGGTAGATGGAGTCGAGCCAGAGCATGTTTGAGTAGTGGTCGTCCCAGATGGACATGACGAGCACCATGGGCAGCGTCAGCGCCTGCTGCAGCTGGCTCCAGCCGCCAACCTCGTCGAACCGGTTGCGGTCGTCAAACGCCTTGAACACGTTTGTGCAGTACTCGGCCGTGATGTCGCTCGTGGCCGGGAGCCCCTCCACGGTCGGCGCCGGGATGGTGATCTTCTTGTTGTTCTGCACAAAGAACTGCGAAAGCTTGTCCTTTTCGAAGCGCGTGACGACGCTGTTGTGGGTAGGGTTAGCTTTCTTTCTGCTCTTTTTTTTCCTTTTTTTTTTTTTTTTTTCAAACGAGATAAAAATGCCAAGGACCACATACGTAAACTTCTTGCTCGTGTCGACCGTCTTGCCCTTTCCGTAAAAGTCGGTGTTGCCCAGGCGGTAAGGGTTCACATCGCAGCCGTTGGCCTATAGTTTCACGTCAGTGTCTCTGTCGCCACTCACCCAACTAGAGAGACAGGTCAGTACTCACATCGCACTTGCCGGCGAACCGGTCTTTCGAGTAGGTGCCGCCGCAGTTCGAGTCGGTGCAGACGTGGTACTTGTTCTCGGTGCATGGGTGCGGGGTGAAGGCGAACGAGTGGGCGTTGGACTCCCTGTTTTGTGTTTTGGAGCATGGTCAGCAACCCCGACTGCCTTCTATACAAGACGGCAACACCCGAAACTCACCAGACGTCAATCTCGGCGCAGCAGCCGCCCATGGGGCCGACGCCCGCGTTGGCGTCGTTGCTCGACTCCTTCCAGCCTTCCGAGTTGGCCTTGCCGCCGACGAACTTGAGGTCGCGCGCGCACTGGGCGTCGCAGTAACCGGTGCCGTACTTGGCGCCCGCCTTGTTGGACGAGTAGGTCTTCATGCCTCCATCCTCCTCCATGGCCTATTTTCCGCGAGTGTCAGACAAGGCTCCGGTCAAAAGCCCCACGTGCAAATCACTCATCCTCTTGCAAAAAGAAATGGCCAGGGATGGTGCCTACCACAAAGTACAGGGCGGCGTTGAGGCCGCAGTCAATGGTCGACAGGTCCACGTCAAAGGTGAACTCGTTGCCGGTCAGGGTAAACATCTGGTACTTGGTGGCGCCGTTCATAAGGTAGAAGCGCGAACCGATGTTGGTGCCGTACTCGTGCTTGGTCACAAACTTGAGCGACAGGGCGTTGCCGCTCGTGGTGGCGCCGTACGTCTTGCTGTAGTCGGCGCCCTCGAGCGCGCACTTTGACGTGCAGTCGGACGAGCTCTTGCAGGCGCTGGTCCACTTGTTGCCATCGTAGCAGTTGGTCGTGCCCGACGTCGTGTGCAGCCAGCGCCAGTTGGAGTCGATGGTGACCTCGCCGTTGACGTTGGTGCAGCTGGCCTTGCCCGTGCACTTTTGCCACGTCATCTTGGGGTGCGTCTCGGCCGTCTGCGTGCCGACCTGCTGCGCCCTGGCCGCCGCCAGCAGCGACGCCAGGAAGAAGCCCGACTTGACGAGCATCTTGTTTTTTTTTCTTCGACGACTTGTTGATGCTGGAACGCTCAAGCGGAATGTGTAGACCTTCAGCAAGTATCAGCTGGCGGATGATGGGATCCTCCCTCTGTTTCGCTCGTAGTCGGTGAGGAGACCTGGGGGTTTCTATACCAGCGCCTCGAAGCCCATAAAGAGATGCCAAGATCTGACATATCCCGCCCCTGTCCCGATCGGCGCCGCTCCCCTGAGCTCCGCAGAGAGCGGCCGAGGGACATTCGCGTGAGGAGCGCTGTCAGGGAGCCACGGGCTCGTCCCATATTGCGAGACCATCTCACGCCGCCGTGTTTAATCAGGGGGATGTGCGCCCGTCATTAGGATAAATCTCGGAGCGCCAGCCCACCAACGAGCTATAGGGTATGATTGCGGGGTGTCGGCTCGCAGGTTTGGGGTGGCCGTAGTGGTGTCAGGGTGGCGAGGAGCTGGGGTCGAGTGCTGGTGTGAATAGGGTCTGGTCCCTGAGGTCGGGATGCAAGCCGCCCTGAGATGGTGGCCCGGCGGTATTATCTGACAGCCGCCTTATTCGACATCCAATGGCAAACGGCTCAACGGAGGTGGCGGCCCGGCGACAGGATCTAGCGCTCCATTGGACTCAAGTGGCAGCAGGCAGCAGGCAGCATTGTGTTTCCTGGACCTTGTGTTGAGCTCCCCTCTGGTCGAACGGCCCGACAGCAAGGTCATTCGCTGAATATCAGCGGCACCGTTCAAGTGCGGTACAGGCCGATGCCCAGACTACAGATCGGCGCGTAGGGTCTGCTCCCCCAGCCGGCAAAAGGCGCTGGCTGCGGTCCACAGACTGCACGTCCCCAGGTTCCCACGCTTGGCCGGACTCGGCGAACGTCCAAGAGGCGGCAGCATAGGTTGACAAGACGCTGGGCATTGCTTAGCTGTATCAACACAGGAGCCTCGAAGCTTGACATGACAATCCGTTGCACTCACGTATAGAAACACTACGCCGTACCTAGGCATCTGATATCTCGAGATCCTTCGGCTTCACGACTCGCGCCACATCCTCTGCTGTCTACCGGATACCCCGCACATCCGCGGAAGGAGCATGGCCGAGGGCATCAGCAGCATGGACACGCATATAGCTTTCCTCTCACAAAAGAGCAGCCGAGGCAGGGTTCCATCCGAGACCCGAGAGAAGAGCCCATGTCTCCCTGGCAAATCCCACGAACCGTGCGGGGGAACCAATACCGCTGTGCTGTTCCCGGCCGCTGGTAGTGAGCTGTCCCTCCCTCAGTATTGGGCTCCGGCATTGGGGGAGCACCATGTCTGACTCCGGCTCAAGGCGTGTACGCCAGCAGCGAGGGCGCTCGACACTGATCTTCCTCGCGAATGGGTGTCCTCGTCGGCTTGATGATGGAGGCGGGAAGGATGTAACGTTGAGACGGTGGCAGGGCATCGCATCAAATGACGACCAAAGCCTGGTTGGGCCAATAACGACGGCTCGCCCCTTATGGCGCTGCTCGGAAGTCGGGGTAGAGAGGACGAGAAGAGCGGCAAGAGAGTCGGGAATTTGACCGTATTTTAATATCGATGCGCGGCAGACAATTGGGCCAGGCCCTTTTCGGCACGGAGTTAAGAGTGCGCAGCCCCCGAGGCTGAAACGAGGTAGCCGGCAGGGTCTGCAGTTTGGCGACGGAGGCTGGGGGCGTGGTCTGGTATGACAGGATCTCAGCCGTTGTCGATGTCTGTTTGGGGAAGGGCGGTTGGATAACCCTTCATCTCGACGGATACAAGACGCACAAGTAGGCCAGAGAGGGCGAGTACCTCCCATGGGCGAATGAATTGTGGACGAAAGAACATTTCTGAGCGGCCGCGTGGAATTCCACCGGAAGAGATTAGAGAAGGCGCCACCTAAAAATGAAATCCGTGGGCAACGCAATATGGGAAGGAAGGCACAGGCAGATCAGAGCTACCAGCCAAAAGCAAAAGAAGCCTAATAACACACATGGCATGCAGGCAAAAAAATGAGCTTGCGTGTGCCCGGACTCGAACCGGGAGCCCATCGATGGCAACGATGGATTTTACCCTTAAACCACACACGCTGATGGTGATTTGATGATGAAGATGACTCAGCGCATTGGTTATATTCGCGTAGGGCTGGCGTCAAGTTCATCCTTTACGATTGGTAATAGCTGTAACCGTAACAAACCCATTTTAGTCCCACAATTTTAATAGGATAATGGTAAAAGGGTGCTTAGAATTTATTCAGCAATCGCGGCGAGGACCGGAGGAGGGAGAAATGTGGAAGCGACAGAGAAGGAGAAGAGAGGGGTAGCAGGGAAAAGAAGGCAAACCTGCCTGGCGAACCAGCACATGGAGGAAACCGGAAGGCGCAGCTCACGTGGGTTGGGCAGCTGTGGCTGCAGCTGAACCAGCCTCGCCTCAGCCAATACTTCTCCAGGGCTGCTGTGCCGGGCTGTTGGAGCTCTTGGCATGCAGACGAAAATGCTTGCATGTTGGAGCAATCCTGCGCCACCGGGCGTCAGGTCCACGCGCGGCCTGGGTCATCGCTGCCGCCGGCCTGGTCGTCCCAGGCGCCTAGGTGATTGCGTGCTGAACAAATCTATTGCCAAGCCGAGCACTGTAGCTCCCAGAAAAAAATCCGGCTCGAATCAGGCGCCATGAACTCGGACACCGCAAACTGGAATCGGCCCCCCCAGGTCTACCCATCGCATGCGTGTCTGCTGCGCGCCTCCGCGTCCAGAATATCCTGTATTCGCAACGCAAAAGGTTAAAAAGCTCGGTAACAGAGAATAGGATTTGTTTTTTCTGTAACTTTAGCTTTGAGGAAGAAGATTCATCAGTTGAGGCTACCTCCAGCTCGCTGCCCTTTTTACACAGCCGTTTGGAACTCCGTCCTCCTGCGTTTCGGTGCCCACTACCGCGCTCCCGGTGCCAAGCCTACCACGTCCTCGGACCTCGAAGTGGAGCGGATATGCTTGATATCCACACCGCTAAACACGTCCCGTCGCCTGGGGGGCTTCGTCCGGCCGGCTTTAGCGGCGGTGAAGCGCAAACGAGGCGGGCACGGCCTCGACGCCGGCTCCGGAAACGGAGATCTTGTCCTGTAAAAGGGGGTAAGCAAACAAAAAGGTCAGTCTTTGCGTCTTCTTCATTTGCCATCGTTGGACACCCCTTTTCTTACCAGCTCCTCGACCTGGGCCTCGCTGAGGCCGGCGATGTCGTACTCGGTGCCGTCGGCGAGCCCGATGGTGTTGTACATAACCGAGGCCGTGCACTTTTCGGTGCCGGTGCCGGGCTGCTCGGCCGGGCACGACTCGTCGGCGGCGCGCTTGCGGTTGACGAACCAAATGTGGGCCCCGGACCGGTCGCCGCGCGTCGTGTAGGGCAGGCAGAACGAGGTCCGGCCGTTGTTGCATTGCTCGGTGCCAAAGAACCTGTAGCCGTCTCCGGTATAGGACCTGGCGCAGATACGCCAGCCCGACCGGATCTGTTGTGCTGTTTGTTAGTTTTTTCCCTTTCCAAGCCCCCTACCCCCATCCTAACCTTGACATCAAACGGGGGTGTAAACGAGGAGGGGAAAAAAAGTAAGTTGTACTGGGAAAAAAAGCTCTTTAATTTTTACTTACAGCCACGACAGCAATGCTCGCCCGGCCGGTGTTAGCCCCGCCGTAGCTGCAGCAGACGTTGGGTGGGATGCCGACGCACGCCCAGGTATAAGGGGCAAAATAAAGTCGCTACGTTGCTAAAGTGGTAGTGGCCGAGTACGCGTCGGGGATGGCAGCGTTTTTATCGGCTTCTTGTGCTTGCCGCTTTTGCGTTACGCCATTACGGGACTGTAGGTGTTGTTGACTAGTGGGAAAGAGCTTGGACAAGTATCTAGTGCTATTTAGGTGGATAAGAAATGGCCACTGCACACGCTCATCCCGCGAATCATTTATATTAGCTCGAGCTCTGTTGTTTCGTTATGGTCCTGCTCGTAATACTCCGGATCCCCTCGGGAAATGCCGATTCTTCTATAAGCCCCCGATGTACTAATCTCTTCGAAAAGCAGTCAGCGCAAAAAACACCGCTCCCCCTTAGTTCGGCGGGGCTCACAGTGCAAAGTGGCGCCCCCGTTCCTGGAATGGAGCAGAAATCTTGGGGTGCTAAGAGTAGTCTCGACCTGTCGACCTGATGTAAGTCGCGGAGCTCCGAGACAACAGAAAAAGGGGTGGGAACAGCCTCGAAGTCTGCATTTCAGCGACCACATCGAATATATGTTTGTGGTCCGTGTAATCTTTGGGGGGGGGGGGGGGGGGGGGGGGGGCATATCAGAGGGATTCCATGGACTTCCTTACGGACGTCCAATGCACCTTCCCGGCGTACCAAGTCAGCGCGGTGACTGAACTTGGTCATATCAAGAGTTGTAATGCTGGCGACGGGAGCCCTCTCGCCTCACCTCATATCAACAACAGCAAGGCGCCAGACTCCAACGCGCCCCGCGTCTTGTCCCCGCATCCAAACGACAAGACTTCTAATATTTCCTTCTCCGTCGCCCTTCACTTTCAGCGGGATCCAGAGGTACACTGCCCCCTATTCTCTACCACCCCCATCGCACTATCAGCAACAATGGAGGCCACAAACGAGACCTCGGTATTCCACAAGTTCCAATGCCTCCCCCCGGAGCTGCGCGTCAAGATCTGGAAGGAGGCCCTGCCGGAAGAGTCAGACGCGACGCTGTTCGCCCACAAGCGCTGGGACTATGTCTACTGGCCGCAGGAAGGGATGGACGACGAGGTCAATTTCGAAAACATATCCGAGTCCTGGACCCGCGCCAACTTCAGGGAGGATGACGTCCCGGCCGTGCGCATGGCGCCCCTCCTGAACGCGAACCGCGAGGCGCGCCGCGTCGCCGTCGCCTGGGCCCGCCAGCACGGATACAAGAAGGCCAAGCGCGGGGCGGGCGACGGCGACGGCAACGGGCCGGCACCGCTGGTCATGAGGCGCCGTGTCGACCCCGCCGTCGACGCCGTCTACTACCCGACCGCGGAGGCCCCGTCGGCGCGCTTCCATGAGGCCCGGGACATGATGATGTACAACGATCCCAACGATGACGAGGGGTCCTTCGTGTCATTCGTCAAGGCCGTCGCCTTGCCCCGGGCAATGATCGAGGAAGTGAGCATGGAGACTTGGCGGCGAATCAAGCTCATGCACCGTCGCTGGGACGTCCTGTACGTTGTCCTAGGTCCGCAGCCCGACAACCTGGCCGGCGGCGTGTGGGAGTTGCATCACCATCCCGTCTACGGGCCGGGTTCTCTGGTCTGGGACATGGAGGCCGGTGCGTTCTACAATGCCCAGGGTGGAGATGTAACGGTGGACGGCGATGTTTCTGCCGTGGTCGACGCCGTTGCTCGGGCACTGGCCGACGTGGCTGATGACGTGACAGACATGGAGCTTCGCCTGGCCCGGGCTGTGAGGCGCGGATAGAAGGTGCGGGACCAGAGATCTGTGGGCTTGCCGGGAGTGCTCGCAAGGCTGCTTTGAAGTTTTGAGGTTGCCAGGCATGTAATGGATGTAGTTGATATGGCATGACGCCAATGTGACGGCACCCATCATCGAGAAAAGGATAAGTTGGGGAAGGAGAAAGCAAAATGAAGAGACAACTGGCGGGGGAGAAAGAGAGCACGTATCGCAATCGCGCGAGGCGGTATGGGCAACACAGTGGGGGGCTTGTCTATAGGCAAAATAGGCGCTATCAAGACTCACCTCGCCAATGCCGCTTGGCCTACACTTGGCCACCAGCTCCCCCCGCACCAGAATTGGAGAAATTAGCTCATGACCTCGGCATCCCTTTCCGAAGTCCCAAGCGGTACCTGCGCCTCTCCCGCCGCCGCCGCTGCGCCAAGAGGGTGGCCCCCAAGATTTGGCATGCAGGCAACTTCATATCGATCCGAGGGCTTGCTACGGCTTGGGGGGTGGCGACAATGCACGAGACGGCACCGCCGCCCGGAACCAAGACATTTGCTCCGAGTCGGGTAGACTTCGGAGATCTTATCGCAGGGGAGGGATGGGGAGTGGAGGAACGTGATGAGAAAAGAGAGACAGGCGAGAGTCTTGCCCGATTGGGTGACGTTCCGGCTCGCGGCTCGCGGCGATGTGGCTTGGCAATATAGATTAAAAATACTGTAAAGCCAGCAAAGTCCCCAGCACCAAGGCCCAGCAGCAGCCGCATCGATGGGCCGTTGCTCCCGGGCTGCCCCGCGGGCCGGCTGGATAGGACCCGCCTGGTTGTTTATTTGCCGCGACGCGAGTATTACCATCTGGCGCTTGGCCGTGCCGTCTTCCTGCTGCACGCGAGATGTTAACTCTGGGCTCAACTCTCGCACCCACCAATCGGACGACCCACTAGCAGGACTTTGATCCGCTCGGATCTGTCAGCCCTCGATCCCGAAAAGCTGGCTTGGGTGGCGCTGTGCTAGAGACCATGGCAAGACATCCCAAGATATGTCGCCATATAATGGCTGATTTCAACGCCTTGCGCATGAACGCTTGGCTTCGCAGGAAACATGTCGTGCTTGTTCTTGAGTGTGGCTTGGTGGCTTGGGACGGCGGCGACGGTCCGACAGCGTGGCCCTCGAGAGTGGGAGCAACTCAGTATAAAAGGGCAACTTGAACCTGGTGTTGAGGAAATGCGATGAAGGGAACAGCACCCACGCTCGCCGAGGTCTCATACTTGGTCAACTAGTTGCAAGAGATAGCCTCTCTCTCTCTCTCCCCTCGCTCACTCGTTTTCTCTTCAACTCCTTCAAGATGCGCTTCTCCACCGTTGTTGCCGGCCTAACGGCTGCCGGGTCCGTGGCAGCCATGCCGGCCAGCAGTCAACAGCACCAGCGGCGGCAGGACGACGACGCCGCGCCGGCGCCGCACCCCAACCCGTTCGAGGGCCGCAAGCTGACGGCGAACCCGGAGTGGGCGGCCAAGGCGCGGGAGGCGCTGTCCTACTACGAGTCCAAGGGCGACGCCGCCAACGCGGCCGTGGTGCGGGCGGTGCAGCAGACGGGCACCTTCGCGTGGGTGTCGAACCGCGCGTCGCTGCCCAACATCGACCGGGCCATCCAGGCGGCGCGCGACGAGCGCGGGCGCACGGGCAAGGACCAGATCGTGGGCTTGGTGCTGTACAACCTGCCCGACCGCGACTGCAGCGCGGGCGAGTCGGCGGGCGAGCTGGACAGCAAGAAGGACGGGCTGCGGCTGTACCGGGAGACGTACATCAAGCCGTGGAAACAGAAGCTCGAGGCGGCGCGCGACGTGACCTTTGCCGTCGTGTTAGAGCCCGACTCGCTCGCCAACCTCGTGACCAACATGGGGGTGCCCTTCTGCGCCGAGGCGGCGCCCGTGTACCGCGAGGGCATCGCGCACGCCATCGCGGCGCTGCAGTACGACCACGTGCACCTGTACGTCGACGCCGCGCACGGCGGCTGGCTGGGCTGGGACGGCAACCTGGCGCCGACGGCCAAGGAGTTCCGCACGGTGCTGGACCTGGCCATCAAGGAGACGGGGAGCAACAGCACGCGGATCCGGGGCTTCTCGACAAACGTGTCCAACTACAACCCGTTCCGGGCCAACCCGCGCGAGAACTTCACCGAGTGGAGCAACTCGTGGGACGAGGACCACTACGCAAAGTCACTGTCGACCCACCTCGAGGCCCAAGGGCTGCCGCCGCGCTTCATCATCGACCAGGGCCGCGTGGCCGAGCCGGGGGCGCGGGCCGAGTGGGGGGAGTGGTGCAATGTGGCGCCGGCCGGGTTCGGCATGGCTCCCGGCACGCCCGTCGACAACCCGCTCGTCGACAGCATCGTGTGGATCAAGCCTGGCGGCGAGTCCGACGGCCGCTGCGGCTACTCGGGAGCCCCGGCCGCGGGCGTCTGGTTCGAGAACTACTTCCGGTTACTGGTCGAGAACGCGCACGAGAGCGTGGGAGCGATGGCGAGGAAGCTGAAGCTGATTTAGGGGGAGGCTGGATGAGAGCAGGGGTTGCTGTTATAGCCAACCCCAGGTATTTTGTGAAATACATAAACTGTGATACATAAACTAAACAAATCAAACACGATGCAATCTCGTTACAATTCAGGGTGAAGCTTGAGCTTGGGCGGATGCAGCGCTACTTTAAAGTGAACGGGGCGGCGCACAGACAGCCTAGAGGACAGCCCAGCGCTTCGTTTCAGTTGATCTGTGCTATGGCCAAACCCATTGAATGATGACCTCACTCGCCAGGAAGAGCCACGAATCAATTCCGCCGACATCGCTTTTTTTCTCTTCACTCCGTTTCCTGGTAGAGCCACCACACAACACCCATCATAGGCATCTCGCGTCCTCTTTATTTCTTCTGTAATCAAATTCTTCTCTGTTTAATCCATCAATCAATCAACAAACACCTCCTGCCGAGCCTGGCCCTCGGAGATCCCGCCCTCTTCCGAAACAGCGACCGACAGACAGGCCCCAACCCCCTCACACCCTCACACCATACAGAATGGCCGGCCAAGACACTCCACGCGGCAGTGTCACGCGGCTCCACGGCCTGGACGCCTACGTCACGGAGCCGGCCGACGGCAGACCCATCAGGGGCGTCGTCGTCATCGTGTCGGACGCCTACGGCTGGGAGTTTCCCAACAGCCGCCTACTCGCCGACCGCTACGCCGACAAGGGCGGCTACCGCGTCCTGCTGCCCGACTTTTTCGACGGTGAGGATTTGGCCCTCCCCCCCTTTTTTTTTTTTTTGAGCCGCACTGGCCCTCACTGACGCGTCTCTCGCATCGCGTAGGTCATGCCTGTCCCACATGGATGGTCGAGTCGCTGCGCGTCATGATGGGGTCGGGCAACATCTTGTCCAGGGCGTAGGTTATTTCTTCTTCTTTCCTTGCAGCTGCACTCTTTCTGGAGCACCACCATCGCGAATATCGCTGGCCGGACGCTGCCCAGGCTTTCTTGCTCCTCCCAAGGTCTTGGTGACCAGCTTTCAAAGCGCTGCATAGCACAGACCACATTCCCAACTGCCGTCTGCCAAGAGACCGCTCGTATCCACCCCCCAACGTAACAAACGCGCCACGTGCCCCAGTGAACTAACACCACCACCACTACCACCACTCCCCCCAGGTACGCCGCGCTCTGGGTCGCCTACGCCTTCATCCCCTTCGTCGTGTCCCAGCAGCTGCTCGGCGACGCCTACTCGACCGTGGCCACCTTCTTCTCGGCCGTGCGCGCCGGGCCCGAGGCCAGCCGCGGCCTGCCCGTCTTCGCCGCCGGCTTCTCGTGGGGCGCCCGCCAGGCCGTCCTGCTGGCCGGCGGCTCCGAAGGCCCCGGCGGCCGGCCCCTGGTCGACGCCGTCTTCGCGGGCCACCCGGCCTCCAACCTCGACGTGCCCGCCGACGTCGAGCGCGCCGCCGCGCCCGTGTCCTTCGCCGTCGGCGACCACGACCACGCCGTGTCCGGGGACGTGCTCGCGCGCCTCGAGGCCGCCGCCAAGGCCATGGGCGGCGAGCTGCGCGTCTATGGGGGCGTGGGCAACGGCTTCTGCGTCGGCGCCGACCTGGCGGCCAGGGACGCGGGGGAGGCGGCAGAGGACGCTCAGGAGCAGGCGATTGCGTGGTTCGACGCGCACGCCAAGTAGGGGAGTTGGTGACTGGAGCTTCGCCTGGCCTGATTTGTGGTGATTGTGACGGGGGACAGGGGCGTGAGGTTGGAGGGTGTGACTGCGGCGGGCTTCACTAATGGAGATGCTTGCTCTTTTCTTTTGTCCGACATTTGCCTGTCATGCTTGTATTATTGGGGCTCTGATTTAGTAATATTTCTAGCGTGGGCGGGAGGTGAAGCCATTAACGGCGGTAGGGTAAACAAAACATTCCATGCTGCAGCGAAACACAAGTACTAGCCGATGTGCTTCTCAAGCTCACGCCTCAGTTAACTTCCTCGCAACAACCCACAGGAACGCCGCATCGACATCCTCCTTCCTGACCTCGGACTCCACAATCTCGAACCCGGCCTCCCTGATCTTGTCCAGCGTCCCCTCGGCCCCGAACCCGGACCAGTACATCCAGCCCTTGTCGTGCAGCCACTTCTCCAGGACAAAACCCTCCATCGGTTCGGCGACAAAGTTGGCCACAAGGTACCCGCCCGGTCGCAGCCAGTCGTGCAGCTTTCCCAGCATCTCGGCCTGCTCGGCGCGCGGCAGGTGGATGATGCTGAACAGCGCCAGCACGGCGTCCAGGGAACCCGGGCCGAACGAGAGCGCGCACATGTCGCCTTCCTCCCACGCCACGCGCGCCGCCTCGGCGGCAAGGTTCGCGCGCCCGAGCGAGACCTGGGCGCTCGAGATGTCGTTGGCCGTCACGCGCACCCGGGGCGAGCTGGCGAGGAGGCGCGCCGTGGCGGGGATGCCCGCGCCCGCGCCGAGCTCCAGGATGGAGATGGCGTCGGCGGTTGACGATGAGACGTCGAGGAGTTTGAGCAGCTTGTCGACGAACTCGAGGCGCACGGGCGAGTGGTCTTGGGTCCAGGTGTTGTAGGTCGGGGCGATGGCGTCGTAGGAGTCCTTGATGCGCTGTTTGAGGTTTTCGGGATCGCGGTACTCTGAGGTGGCCATTTTGAATAGATCTTCAAGTGATGGATGTGAATTGATCTGCGTTTTATTTGTATAAAATCCTGCAATAGTTGCTAGCTCACGGCTCAGGTATGAGATGCCAAACAGGATCAAGCTCGGGGCTGCTGGCGAGGTTCGCCAAGCAACACCTGAAAGCACGGTGGCTTAAGATTAATGATGGCAGGGCTCTGCGGGGTCGCTCCTGCACTATAACCTAGACAAGACCTACAGACGGAGCAAGGTTGGACGTGACTGCCACTGGCGTAACCTCACTAACTTGAGGGGCAACTTCCCTACGGGAAACCGTTGCTTATACCCAACCCTAACCCGATAATAGTCGTAAGTGAGCGTCAACAAGCATAGCTCTTGGCGAATAAACATCCAGGCACCTCTCATTCATGTTGGATTTCAGGGGCATCCTGGATTAGGCAAAAGAAATATTATAGAATTAGAAAGAACTTCAAGTATAAGAGCAGCTTCCCACCGTCTCAAACATTCGCCCTGTCCGGCTAGATTCCATCGCAGCACTGCCGGAGGATCCTCGGCTGAAGTCGGACCTGACACCCACCTTGACCCTCCCCTGACAGCCATCTTGGGTGGAGCCGAATCGTCATTGGGGCGGGTGAGCTGACCCGACAGCATTTTCGAGCTCTGCGCACTGCTCGCTCCAGCCTCGACCACTCCCCCGCAACAACCCCCAGCCAATGCCACGCTCATGACCATGGCAACCGCCCTGGCACCCAAGAGCACGGCGGCAGGCCGCGGCCTGCTGCTCGCTTTAGCTTCATCGACCCGGGCCGCCGCCCTGCCGCTTAGACACGCCGCCGCCGCCAGGACAGCCCTGCTGGCGCCCACAGCTTCATCACCAACAACAACCCCGACACCCCACCGACGCGCCTTTACCAGCGGCGCCGACGGCGGCAGCTCCGGCGGCTACGGCGCGCCGTCGCCGCTGGCCCCTCACTATCAGGGCCCCTCTGGCGGCGGCGGCGGCGGCGGCTCCCTGCCGTCGTACTTCCAGCGGCCCTCGCTGCCCGCCAACACAATCGTGCGCTTCGTGCCGCAGCAGACGGCCTGGATCGTCGAGCGCATGGGCAAGTTCAACCGCATCCTGCAGCCGGGCCTCGCCATCCTGATCCCCTTCCTCGACCGCATCGCCTACGTCAAGTCGCTCAAGGAGGTCGCCCTCGAGATCCCGTCGCAGAGCGCCATCACGGCCGACAACGTCACACTCGAGCTCGACGGCGTGCTGTACACGCGCGTCTTTGACGCCTACAAAGCCAGGTGTGTTTGCGAATTTCTCGCCTCTAGTCCTGCTTTTGCGCTCTCCCTCCTCTCTCTCTCTCTCTACGTTGGGGCCCCCTTACTAACCTTGCCAACTCTCCTCCCCCTCAGCTATGGCGTCGAGGACGCCGAGTACGCCATCTCGCAGCTCGCCCAGACGACGATGCGGTCCGAGATCGGCCAGCTGACGCTCGACCACGTACTCAAGGAGCGCGCCGCGCTCAACACCAACATCACGGCCGCCATCAACGAGGCCGCGCAGGCCTGGGGCGTGACGTGCCTGCGCTACGAGATCCGCGACATCCATGCGCCCGCCGCCGTCGTCGAGGCCATGCACCGCCAGGTCACGGCCGAGCGGTCCAAGCGCGCCGAGATTCTCGAGTCCGAGGGCCAGCGCCAGAGCGCCATCAACATCGCCGAGGGCCGCAAGCAGTCCGTCATCCTGGCCTCGGAGGCCCTGCGCTCCGAGAACATCAACCGCGCCAGCGGCGAGGCCGAGGCCATCCTGCTCCGCGCCCGCGCCACGGCCGAGGGGATCGACGCCGTCGCCCGCAGCATCGCCGACGGCAGGGACGCTGCCCAGGGCGCCGTTAGCCTGTCGGTGGCCGAGAAGTACGTCGACGCCTTCGGACGCCTCGCCAAGGAGGGCACCGCCGTCGTCGTCCCCGGCAACGTCGGCGACATCGCCGGCATGATCGCCACCGCCCTCAGCGTCTATGGCAAGGTCGGCGACGCCCAGGCCAGGACCATGGCCTTCTCCTCCTCAAAGGGCGCCGCGTCCGCTGCCGGCAAGGAGGCCTCCGACAGCAAGACCGAGTCCCCCGTCGACCACAGCAGGTCCATGCGCGATAGCATCGTCGCCGACTTTGACAGGGCCGCCGAGACGAAGAGATAGAGAGAGTTTTGGGAATATCAGCTTCGACTTTGGAGCGCGCTTGAAATCCCAAGGGCTGGCTAGCCCCTTCATGTACAATATTATTTCTGGGCGGGCTTCATAAAAGCAGTGACTGCGACGGGAACGCCAAAGGGATCACTACTTAGTTAAAAAGCATCAGCGGAGGCGTCAACCGGTGGACGATTATCAGTGCATTCTCTTTTTCTGCCTTTTGTCTCATTTCTAGTCGCCCACGGCTTGATACAGAGTAGGCTCTGGGGTCTCATCAAATGTTGACCAAACCAGACTCGGCACTTGCCGGAAAGTAACTAGAACCCACCTTAAGGACTTCTAAAGTTTGGGCCGCCTTTACTTTGCTCTTCCAATGACGTGGTCCGCTTGATCCGTCCATCTGTCTCACCATGATAGAGATCAGACCGGAGCCTTCGGCCGTCTCACCATGCGGGACGATGGCACCGCTAATTTATTTATTGAGCAATATCAACATTCCAGCGCGCTCCACCTCTTCCCTGAAATTACAACTACATCGATAACATTGTTTAACAGCACCACAGCCCATTGCCTTTCTGGTGTTCCTCTGGCCAATTCACCACCTTTGTTCTAGCTTTGGCGCTTTAAAGATACCAAAGAAGATAGCAAGGCAAGAAAATAGGAGTAACGTGAGATCTACCTGGCGCGCGCACGGGGGTGGAGGACCAACCACGCTGCGACTCCCTTTGTGAATAGCTACTCCGCCGCTGTTCCTTTGGCGGACGCACTCTTTTGTTTCCACTGCGTGCACCATAGGAGGACCCATGGCGGCGTTGACGTTACGACCATGGCCGCTCGCCGATTGCGCAAGTCACCGCGCCTTCTGTCTGGAGCAGGCCTTTTTGTCTAGCATGAATAGTAATAAACGGGGAAAAAATCCGAGGAAGGGAGAGCAGGGTGGTTTAGAGGGGCCTCGCACAGCCTGATGCTGCTAGCTACGCCTTGCTCGTCGACCGGGGCGGGTGCTTTTTTTTTTTTTTTTGTAGTCTCAAACTCGTGCGACTGGACGACATCGACCACCCTCTGTGTGGAGCTAGAAAACTGCTGCCGGGCTGGGGGCTGCTCGCCGGATATGCCCAGCCTTGGCTCGTCGTCGGCCGTGCGCGGGAGGAGCTTCATGATTTCGAAAAGGGGGACGAAAGGGAGTGGGCGGTCAAAAAGTGTGTTGTGAATACAAAGAAGCGAAGGACTGCGGTGAAGATGAGAGTCCCTCAAGAGAGAGGCGGAGGAAAGCAAACCGCTCGCTTTATATCAACCATCGTGGCCCGGCCTCCTTCCGTTGTAGATGCCGCCCAGCCGCCGCCCGACGACCTGTGAGGTTGTCCATGTCGTGTCTCGTATCCCATTTCGCAACAAGCGCGATACTCCAGAGCCCAGCATGGTATGAGCCGTTTCGGTTCGTTGGACCGGAGCGGGTTGATACCCATGCTAATACGAACAAACTGGAACCCCTGCCGTGTGCACGATGAGGTTCTAAAAAAAAAAGATGATCTTCATGTGGATAGCCTTGCTGGCACTGGATACCTCCAGCCCCTGATCTCGAATCCCCATAAGATCTCGGGCATTTCTCCTTTTCGTGTGGTGTAGTTCGGACCCACGCCGGCCATTCTGCTCCGATGAAGGGTTCGCCATCTCTATGCGGTTAAAGCTGACACATAGGATCGCCACCATAATGGCAGGGCCGCCATGTAGCATTGTGCTTGCAACAAATCTCTTCCGCTAAACCTATTATGCCTATCATGAACTGATGCAAAAGTGGGAAAAAAAAGCAAACAAGGGAAAAGAGAGCGAGAACGACGAAAAGAAGAAGGAAGAAACATGCCTTTCAGCGCGCTGTCACACAACTAAACCCCTAGCTCGCCGCCAACCACCACTAGCGCCTCCCCCACCAGCCCCAGCAGCGCCCTGTCGCCGCACCCGCCGGCCGCCTGCACGACGCGAGTGAGGAGCGGGTATAGGCGTAGCAGGTGCTTGCGTCCCTCGCTGTCACAGCTGTCCAGGTCCGGGATCGCCGCGGGCTCTGACCGTAGCTCCACGAGTCCGCGCAGGACCCGCGAGAGCTCCAGCGACTGCGACAGCGGCTGGGGCATCGCCCGGCCTCGCAGCGGCTGGTCCGCCGCATACCCTCGCAGCGGGAGCGCGCAACGTAGGATCAGGTAAGGAGCCGCCGTCCGCGCGAGCTGCACGTGCTGCTCATGTCGCTCCTTGGAGGATGCCGAGGCCGAGGGCCTGGCCGGCATTTCCTCTGCTGATGCTGAGCCGTTGGGGCTGAGGCTGGAACCAGAGCTGGCATCGCCTCCAGCCTTGGCATTTGTGGATTTCCGTAACGCCTGGTCATATGGATCGCCGCCTCCTTGCTGCTTCTTTGGGAGGCGAGGCGTTGGCGGCAGAACCACAATGGTTGGCGTTGCCGTATCCTCGTCGTGGGCAGAAACGAGCGCAAAAAGCTCTTCAAGGCACACATAGGCCACATCCTCCCTCCTCGTCGGGGGCGGGTCGATGGTGCGCCCATTCCGCGGCTCAAAGAAGCTGCTCAACCCCTTCTGGACAATGTCGCCACCGCTCCTCCCGAACACGATCTCTCCCTCGGCAGGCGTGGGCTCATGGACGATAGAGGTTTGAAAGAGGCCTTCGGCGTACGCCTTGCGAGTCTTCTCTAGCACATCTTGTGCCCCCAGTGACGGGATGATGAGTTCCCTCAGCTCCCTGAACGATCCAACGTCGAAGTCCTGGTCATCCGAGACGTCAGCTCCCTGTGGCGCCTCAGTCGTATCAGCGCTGATGATGCCAATCGCTATCTCGACGATCACCTGCCATGCCCCTTGAAAGGCCGCGCGGGGAACTTCGGCCGCTTTCAAATGCGGCAGTGTTGCTTCGAGTATAGCAATGCTTGCTGATGTGGCCTCGCGCCAGGGCTGCACAGACTTGGTCGTTATGGGGAAGCGGTACTTGAGCGTAATAGGCCTCGCCAGAGCTGACAAGGCAGCATGGAAAGCGCCGCTCGAAAAGACGTCGGCGTCTGACGCATTTTCCGTTACATGGTAGTGCAGAATCCCCATGCTCTCTTTCGACATGGCCACGTATGTGCGTTTCTGAGTTGGCGTGTTGATGATACGCGCCTCGTCAAAGGCAAACGTGACAAACTCGGCGATTTGACTGATCATCGCGGAAGGGGCGCCGGCGATATCAGTCCGCACCACTCGAAGGACCTCCAGCATTTTCCCCTGTAGTGGCGTGACATATTCAATGTCGCTTGCGTACGACCCGGGTGTCGCCTTTATCATAGCTTCGCGGACAAGGCTAAGCAGACGCTGCACTCTCCCAACTTCAAGATCCTTGTGGATGAGGCGGTAGAGCTGCAGGAAAGCCTCCACCCACGACAACAGGCACTTCTGGTTGTCTTCCCCCTTGATCCCCGGTGTCAAATCTGGGATTGGGAGGCCTCGCGCCCATAGCTCCCAGGCCATGTCAACGGCCGCCTTGTCGAAATTCTTGCGAGGTTTGTCGTCACATTTTGACAGGATGCTGCCCAGACTGCTAAACGTGGCGCTACTCATGTCGAGGATCTTGAAGTCGAGCATGGTCGCGAAGTGCTCCAGCAGCTCGCTCCACAGAGCACCGAATCTGCTGTGTCCAATTAGGACGTCGAGATAGTTGGAAAGGAGGTCCGAGACCCCATTGATGATGACAACAGCAGTCTCGTGCCAGTCGTTCTTGGTGGATTGCCCTTCAGCCCCGCGGGTGCCCCTCAGCCGGGCCTCAATAAAGGATAGAAGCCTGAATATCACGGATCTGATGCATATTGACCATGCCTCGGGCTTCAAGCTGCTGCCGTAGGCGTGTATGATCCTCAGCAAGGTCTGGATAGCGCCTGGTTCCGAGTCAGCATTCAATCGTGGCGAAACGGAGTAGGGCCAAGCAAGTTCCTGTACTCACTATTTCGCAGCTCTAGCCTCTGGTCAGTCGTGACGTTCGTCAACCTCAGTAGCAACAGCATCCAAAGCGCCGCTCCCGAAGCGGAGTGGTCTGGGTTGGACGCAAGCTCAACTAGTGCCGCATCACTCGAGTCCTGGGCCATGTCTTCCGTAACCGAGATCGATTTACTCTTGCCAGACAAGAAATCCGAGATGGCCCAGAAGAAGGTCACGGTCTAGATATAATGGAATTCGGTCAGTCTAATGAAGTGTTGGGAGTGGTGTTGCCAAGGATGCTAGTTGTATACCGTCAAAGCAACGTTCAAATCATCGTCCTGTGATGAGAACTTATACAGCGTGTCGACAAGGTGCAGGAAGCACGAGTTGGGAAGCGAGTCCAGAAAGTCAGAGCAAATAAGCTGGAGCGAGCTGAAAGAAGGCTTGATTAACTTGACTGATCTCGTGCCGAGAATCTCGGGATGCCCGTCGTCGTTCTCTTCGTTCTCGGAGGCGAGTCGCCGCGGAAGAAAGATGCTGTCGATTATCTCGAACGTGATGTCCCAGCCGCTCAACAGGCTCTCACCGCAGTTTTCAATGATGCTCTTTAGGCCATCGAGAATAACCTTGTGTATGTCGATGTCGGTAGCGTGGGTTGCGACTGTCGTCTCGCGATGGGACATCTGCAATGGCAGTAGAGCATCCCTGAGTGCTTCGAGCAGCCGTAGCTGCAGCTCTCCCCGAATCTCCTCAGGAGATCCCGCGACGGCGGAGGCCGAGTCGAAGATGATGCGTACCAAGATCTCGGCGGCCCTGATGCGGACAGGGGCGTTCGCTGTCGCGGAGCTCAGGGTGCTGACTAGCTCCGACACCAACGGAGTCCAGCCGGACACATCAGGGGGGTATTCTAAGAGACGCTCGAGATTGATGGATGCGAGATCACCGAGCTTGGCCAAAGCAAACTGATCCTCCTGGTTCGCTGCCGCCATTGGGGTCACAGACAAGCTCATCGCTCGTCTGTGCCCACGGCTTGTCTTCAGAGCCAGCCCACCTCCCGAACCGGGAGTATGGGGCCTTGTGTCTTCGGGCGAATGAGGTTCAGCTTCTTTCTCAAGCAGATTGCAGACAGCTTTCACCACCTCCACGAACGAGTTGTTTGGAAAGTCTACAGTGCTTTCGAACAGCCTTGATGCCGCCGTCTCCACCGCCTTTACCTCGCCGCTGAAATTCTGCAGCAGTGCCGCGGCCTCGGCCTCGGCTTGCTGATCCGTGTTCCTTGTTGCAGTCATGACCCGACCCGCCGACTTGCCAGATGCAAACAAGACGAAGTCTGCTTGTTGAAGGGTCTCGAGCAGGATTCGCCAAGATGATTCTAGCGTGGGGCCAAGAGCGATGCCCAGGTTCAGCAAGGCTCGGAGGCACAACATGTTTCTGGTGTTCAGCGTCGAAGGGCCAGCATCGATCACAGAGCTTTGCCTGGGCCTCTCGGCAGATACCTGACTGACTAGACTGTCCACACTCAGCATGCCTCGTGCATTGCTCAGAATACTGTTGGGTGGGTCGGGCGCGCTGGTCGCAGAATTTGGCGTGGTGGGCCGAGCGCTTCCGCCATTCATGCAGGCCGTCAAGACATTAGACGGCACAGCGGCCTTTCCAAGGGTTGTGAGGAAGGCATCCCGTGGCGTTGCGAGTTGGAGAAGGCCGGCAACATGGGTGAACTTTTGGAATGCTCGCACAAGGCCGTGGTAGTACTCTGAGTCCAGCGACGCATAGAGGAACGCAGAGCAAGTGGCCAAAACCGCGGGCCAGCACTGCTGCACAATCCCTGCGCAGATCCTTATATCTGCATGAAGAGGATGGTCTTCGAGGAGGAGAGGGTTTACTGGAACGGGATTCCGTTTGAAGGAGGCAGTTCGCTCGACGCCGCCCCTTGCCTGAGACGAATCCTCGATAGATGGGGCGGGGGAGTTTCTCCCGCTGTTGCTGCCGCTAAGGCTGCCATGCCTCGGGCCCCTTTTCTTGCTTGCAACAGTGAGGGGCAAGATGAACTTTGCTAGGCCTTCGGAAAGTGACATGATGCAAGCCAGCGTTAGGCTGTATATGTACGATTCGGGTATCGAAGGCGGCTCTGTCTTGTCGAGTTGGTCAATACAGGGGACCCTGACGATGCTCCACTGGTTGCTGATGCCTGTATTATGGCCCTCAGATACCGAGCCGCTGATGATGCCCCCGACACCGGTCGCTTCGAGCATTGCATGGTCTGTAGAGGCCGTGATGCTGGAGTACGGATTGGCGACCGGCACAGTAGACTGCTGGCCTAGCCCGATGATGGCAGGTTTCTCGGTACTGACGCGGACAAAAGTGGCTGTGAGATTCTTCAGGATCTTCTTGTCATCTTCTTGGGCATCGAACAGGGCAAACAGCCGACGAAGGAGGCCAGCGTCGGCAAACATGCCCCTGAAGACTTCCATGCATAATGCCCTTTTCCACAAAAAGGTCTCCTGATCCAAAAGACGGGTCAAAATTTCTAGTGCGTCGCCGCTCTCGTCTCTTAGAAGCGACAGGTGCCTCCGCAGCAACGTGTAAAGGATTCGCAAAAGCCGGACAGTGGTAGCAAAGTTAAGCTTCCCGGACAGAGACTTGATGATAAAAGGCATTACCCTCGTCCGAAGAATGTGTGTCTGTTCGGGGTGACTGGAGAAGATGGCGGCGTGGTTGGTCAGAACCGACTCTATCAGCTCTAGGCCAAACGTCTGGGGAAGCCCTGAGAAGCGTAGAAACTCGGGGCGCTGGGATTCGGTCAGGAGGCACAGGTCGTTGAAGATCCTGAATGCGTCCATGGCGGCCGACTTGAGGGGCACAGTGCCATGCTCAGAGGGCGCCTCTCCAACGATGGTGGAATCCGATCCATTCTCTGGGCGTGAGTACTCCGTTAGCGGTCATCAGAGGTCAAATATCTCGACTCGACAGCAACCAGGGATCCATACTGTCTTCGGTCACGACTTTGTCAAAGACAGATACGACAAGCTGTTGCAGTGTGGCAGCAGAGGTATTGTTGACTATGGCATTCTTGCTCGACTGCAGGATGAAGCAGACATTCAAAGCAGTCACAAGGAGATCTCCCTTGACATCCGTAGAATAGTTCTGCAGTAGTGACGGTAGTGCCTGCAGGATCTTCAGCTGAACATCAAGACCGGCCGAGGTAGCGCCCTGCAGGGCTTCGAGCACCTGGCTCAACCGCGGCCTGGGGAGGGCTTTGGAGACGATGAGCCTCTGTAGGCAAACGATGGCGATTCCCGTGAACTTGGCATTCTTGGTCCCGCAGGCAATGATGAACGGGTTGACAAAATTGTTTCGTTGCGTCAGCTCTGCAAGAGGGGGTGTTAGGGGCTGGCGTGCACAGTAAGCCGTGAGTCGTGGACACAACCGGGGTAGGGGCGGCCACGGGGGAGGCCAACGAAGGGGCAGCACGTGACGAACCTGGGCCGAGCTGGGCTTCGGACGAGATGTTCAAGCTCTTGAGCTCCTCGAGGGACTTCTCGGCAGCCTATGGTGCAGGGACTGGTCAGCGGAACCTCCAGGCTAGTGGCTGGGCTGAAACCTGTACAGCGCGTACCTGTCGAAGGTCGTTGTGCTTTCGTTTGCTCTCCTGGATGAGATTGGCAAGCTCTGTGGCGAGCAGCTGAGCCGTCATCTTGCAAATGTTCTATTCAGCGCGTTCGGCATCGCCGCCCTGGATGGGATGCTGTGTCTAGGACGCGCAGCGGCTCAGGACATGGCAGTGCTTTCGATATCAGACAAGGACATCAGACAAGGACAGTCGCTTCGACCATAACCTGGAATCGAGCCGCTCCTTCGTCGTGGCAGTGTGGCTGGATTCGCAATCAGCAATGTGGCATCCACAGCGCCAGCAGCGACCAGGCACCCCTGCCTTCGGCCTTCCATCAATGGCTCCCAACCCCAGTGACAGCGGCAAGCGCATGACTAATGCGGGCAGAATCGCTCACCGCTTGTGCCCAACCCCACCAACTCCCGTCACCTGCAGATTCATGACTGCCTGCCCGTCCAGCTGGAGTGCCCTGCACATTGAGTCCAGCGTCGGCCCCGCGCCTTGGACTGCCCGTCGCCCAGTATTAAACCCCCATCCACTCCCGGCAACCACGCAGGGAGTGCGCGCACGTGTCGAACCTCTATCAGTCTCGCTTCCTGAATCACTCCCCCGGGCGCGCGCTCTTTGCTTGCATCATGGCGGTCGCACAGGTGCCCCGCAGCTTCAAGCTCCTTGCCGAGCTGGAGAAGGGGGAGAAAGGCTTGGGTGCCGGTGGGGATATGGCCAGGCTCTCCGCACAAGATCGCGCGCTTGCTAACGCCACCTCGTCGCAGGCGCCTGCTCGTACGGTCTGGAGGACTCGGAGGACATTCTCCTGACGAACTGGAGAGGAACTATCTGGGGCCCGCCACATGTAAGTCCAGGCCGCCCGCCCGGATTGGGTGCTTGCGTCGCGTTTGACCATCGAGTACCATCTGACAATCTCTTAACGGCCAGGGCAACCACGAGAACCGAATCTACGAGCTCAAGATGCACTGCGGTGACAACTACCCCAAGGAGCCGCCCGTCATCCACTTTGTCAGCCAGATCAACCTTCCCGGCGTCAACAACACCAACGGCCTGATCGACCCCAAGGCCATCCCGATCTTGCGTGACTGGGTTCGCATCGCTGCCGAGCTGTCAAAGAACCCCCGGCCAAAGGAGGACCCTCTGAGCCTGGAGGCTGCTTTGATCTCGATACGAAAGTGCGTTGAACCGCCCACCACGGAGGATTGGCTGCTCGTAGCCGCGCAGGGCCGATATCTTGCTAATACATGCTTTTTTCAGGTTTATGGACGAGCACAAGAAGCTTCCGCAGCCCCCTGAGGGCTCGAGATACGCCATCTACGAGAACTCTAAATAGAAACGCTATACACAAATGTGTTGGGAGGAAAGCCACATGTTTCGTGATTTCTAGTGCTACACAACCAACGCAAGAGGAGGATTGACGGCTATATGTAGGCGAGTGGAGGGAGCGCAGTTTCTACAGTATGTTACCATATTTTACATGCAGCGATAACTTTCATTCTTATAGCATCCTGCCCGTGCTGCCTGTAAGGATTGCCTCGCCGCTCTTTCCCGATGCCGGGCGTTTAGTCTTGTCTGCTCAATGGATGAATCCTGGAGTGGCGTTCGCCCCGAGGTGGGAAGGCGGCTATAGCTTCGCACCTCCGTATACGCGCGCGCACTCATTGGTCAAGCGGCTTAGCAGCAAGCCACAGCACCTACTTTGGTGATAGCGCGGACGGCCACTGTCACTTATAGAGCACCAAACTGTCCATGGATGGCCTCGCTTGGTTTGGCAGCTCTGTCTACTGCATATCATCAGCCTCCAGTTGCCATACACTAGCAGATCGACGTGCCCCGCGGACTACAGACAATCGTCCAACTCTAGAAGGAAACAGTCATGACACTGTCTTTAAGGGCAAACTTCGCTCTTGTACTTGGCCTCAGTCTCCTCTGTTCTCTGGTTTCTGCATACGAATACCCAAGAGAACAATTCGACCGTTTCCTTCCAGAATGGAATGGCATCATCCAGGAAATCCTGCGGTCCAACTGCAGCGAGGAGCTGGCTGCCTACCGCACTCGGGAGAATGACGCAAACCCGCCCGGTCTTCTCTACGACCCGACCAGACGGGTCATCGAGTGCGTTATGGGGCATATGGAGGAGTTCCGCAAGCTCGACATGGCCATCTCGGCCGTCCTCCTCGGTCTGACACCAACCATCCTGCAGTCGCTTGCCTGCAGCACCCTCGACCTTGCCTTTCTGAGCCTGCGCCGGCCGGTGCTCGCCTTGATGCTGGCCGTGGGGAGCCCCATAGTATCGCCAACGCGGGCCATGGCGTTCCAGCGGGGCGTCGAGGAGGTGGTCGCCAAGGGGGCGGCGGCGGCGGCGGCCCCCCCGAACGCGCCCCACCACCACCCGCGGCCGCTCCCCCGGGGCTGGTGGCTCGTCGCGCTGGCGCAGTACGCCGCGGCGGGCGGCTGCGTCGCCAACATGGCGAACCTGTCGTACGAGCTCGGCGTGCACGCCATGACCGTCATCAGCCCCCGGTTCACGCACCAGGTCGCGCTCTGGGGCGCCCTCGTCGCGCTCGTCCACGTCGGCGCGTCCGTCGGGCTGCGGCTGCGCGTCCGCGTCGAGGGCCGCGCGCCGCCGGATCGCGACGCGGGGCTCCCAAGGGCCCTGGCCGCGCTGCCGGGCTGGATGCGGGACGAGGTCGTGCCGTCGGCGTACAACAGCACCATGTCTTTTAGCAACCTCCACGACGGCTTGTGGTTCAGTCTGTTGTCGTGGGCGGCATCTGCAGCCAACGTGGCGATTACTTTGTATAGCACAGTCGTGCTCTCGGGTCTCTTGTTTTTTTCCATCCGAGACAGCCTGACCATCGTGGCGAGGTACATGGTCAGCGTGATTGTCTGTCGGGCCGTGTTTGCGCTTGAGCGGATAGGTATGGGCTTATTTCCAGAGTAGTATCTGAAACAAGACACGGAGCTATTGAGGGAGACAGAGAAGTGTGGTTGGAATTTCTATTTCTTATTTCGTTTGGGCCTACGGTACGGAAGCAGACCGACCGCACATTGGATGGAAAGGAGACTAGAATGGAAGGCGTGAAGGAATAGGCCTATCGCTTGTTCAGTCCTTCAGCCTGTAGTTGTCGACTTCACTCTTTACGGACTAAGTAACGATTAGGAGACGGTCAATAACCAGCCGACCCCCCAGCAAGTCTACTACCCGTGCCGGCAGTGCGTCCTGGGAGGGAAGTACAACGGAAACACGGAGTGTGTCCGCCGCCAGCGGGCGCTGTCTGCGTCCGTTGCTCCAAAGGACTACGCCTAGTCCGCGCGTCTCCGCCGTGCGCACATGAATCTGGTTGCCGTCACCGCGGGCAACCGCCACTGCGTGGAGGCAATGATGCAAACTCTGTTGGGACCGAATTGTTGACATGCAAATGTCCATTTTGAACATGTTGAAAGGAATCACGCCACACTGGAAGCCTTTTATAAGCCCGGGATGAATCTTTGTCAGTGATTGGGCCTGTCAAGTGGCGGCCCTTGGGGGTTCTTGACAAATATCTTGAAGCTACTGAGATTATAATGATGTTACGGAAAAATTGGCGAGTTTTCGGAAGCGAGCCTGTTTTCGATACCTACCAGTTACCCTTTGGCGCCTATATACTCCCCTATCCAAAGAAAGCATACTATCCGCAAGTAACCGCGGGTGCGGCACTATACCCTTCCCTTCCAGGAGCTCAAGCATTAATCCAGCCTTCATCGGCAATATGCAGCATACCAACGAGTACATCCCGTGGAGGGGGGTGAGCGGAGTGGCAGAGGCCACCCGGAGGCGCTGGTCGAGCCCCTCGAGCAGCCCCTCCACCACCCGATCGTCCTCGACCGAGGAGGCCACCTCCCCGGTGACGGCTTGAGCGGCCGGAGGCGGTGGGCCTGCTGCTGCCGCCGCCAAAAAAGTGAGTCCTGCCCGCCCACCTGCCTGCGCCCCGTGCGCCCTTGCCCGCGCCGCCGCCGCCGACGACGACGACAACGACGACGACACCCCCCGCGCCGGCAGCGTTTTTTTTTAATAACTTCCCCGAGCGGGGGTTTTGGTGTATATATATATTTGTTTTTTTTTAATATTTTTATTTGTGTTTTTTTTTAAACCTTTTCAGTGCTTTCCTAAAATAAAATAAAATAAAAATCTACCTTTTTATCGGACTACCTAATTCGGTTCGTTCGTTTTACCAAGGTTCGTGGTTGCCTCCCTGCTTTTCAGCTCCAAACACCTTTACAGCATTTGCATATACACGCTACAAACAAATTTCCTAGCACTATCGTTGTCGTTAGTTATACACAGCCATCCAGCTACAGAACCAAGCTGGCATCGAGGCACCAAGACACCAGGCAGCAGGCACCGCCTCTGCTGCTGCTTGCGGCGGCGCTGCCTATAAAAAACATGATTGCTGGATTGATAAAGGCCGCGGAAGTGGGTGCTGGTGCTGGTTAAGGTATAGAGGTTATGGAAGTGGTTGCTGGCCAAATAAAACCCGTGGAAATAGGTGTTAAGGAAATAGTATTTAAATAACTGCTAGCCAAACAAGTAATGTAGAATCAAGTGCTAAGGGCAAGGGGGCTCGTGAAAGCGACTGCTGGCGAAATAAAGGCCACGGAACAAGGGATTCCCAAGCACCATAGCTAACTACCTTCGCTAATTCCTCAGCGTTCTCACCAGTAGCCAACTGAGCAAAATTCCTATTTTCCATGCTCAGGGCGTCACATTTGAGCGCAGAGGTTGCCGGTCAGGCATCAGCTAGGCACCTGTGCAGAACTACGGCCTTGCGGACTCGATGCTCTAGGGCTTTATAACAGAAAGACTACCTCACTATTAGAGCGCACCATCATGATCACATTGGGGGCGAGCGAGGATGGAGAGGCCAACATTCATGTCATGCCGATACCTACTACACTACCGGGCGGAACCCTGACAAGGAAAGAGAAAATTCCATCCACCTTATCTAGCACCTTGAACCAATGGCCTTCCCCGCCCCCGGTATACTCTTTCAGCTCGACAGCCTATCTCGCCTAGGTCAAGACATGGGCTGCTTGACGACCCAGCTCCACATTTACGTACGTATTGTCGGCCCTATGGCCAAGGAAGATGGTGATCTGCTCTAGAGACCCGGTGGGCACAGATAGGTCGAAGGGTGGTATCATAGCAAGAACCGCATCCTTCGGTTCCGTGCTCCCGGGTCCGGGCGATGCTCCGGTATGCCCCCTCGTCTGGCCAGTCAGTAGATCTTTAACGTTAGCCGCGAATGGGAGCCAAGCGCTAGCGGCAAAGAAGGCATACAGTTTTCGCTCAACGCCCCGTTGCGATAGGAGCGTCCATGTCCCGAAGGCGCCTCCCTGGCTAATGCCCCCAAGCACCAGTTTCTTCCACGGGTCCCCGCCAAACCGCTCGGTCTCTTTAGCCATAGTGCGGGAGACGTGGTTTGCGGACTCCAGGAGCCCTTCGGTCTAAAGGTCCGTTTGGCGATGGGGTCCGCCAAAAGTGCGCCTCAAACCAAGCAGGCATATGCTCCTGAAAGGCGGTGCTCCACAGCTCCTTTAACGTCGGGAACACCCAACGCCAGCCGGGCAATTTGTCGCAAAGCGTGCTGCAGCGAAACGAGGACGGCAGCCTCCACTAGGCATCCCGTGCTTAGTACCCAAATGTAGCATGAAATTTCCCAAGCCACCCCGCCATCACGACACGCTTAGCCAATCACAACCCCTTTCGAATTCGCTAGTGAAGTGATGGGCCCAACGCCAAACTGCTCTCAACTCGATGCCCGGGCAAGAAAGACCTGGTCTTTGACGAGACTGGCATGCCGGCCACAGCAAGGTGAATGCCGTTACTCTACGTGCCCGCGCGCGATCCGCGTCATCGCATAGCATGTACGTCGGCCTGCCCTCCAGCCCCTCCCAGCAAAAAGATGCCCCAACACCCGGGGTTATGGTCGCGAAAGCGGTAGCTCCGCCCACGGCTCCGATGCCGCCCTCGACCCGACCCCCATCCTGACGTCCGACCCTCCTCGCCAGGCTTCGCGCTGTATAAGGCCCTTCTCCGGCAGGTGCCCCAGGTCGTCCTCCCGAGCGCGCAGACGCGTGGCGACGGCACCGTCAACCCCATCAAGCACCTCATCCGTAAGGGCTTCCGGAGGAACAAGTCCTACATCAGCCCCCGCCTGGTCACCTCGTCCCTGTCCAATGGATACAAGGTACGGAAGAAAACATGTCCGAACCCCCGCCCAAACATTCCTGCTGCCAGCCAAAGCTGACGGCCCGCCCCTACCCCACCAGTTCCTCGACCTCCTCTCGGCCGCGCGCGAGCCCGACAGCCCCGCCCACAAAACCGTCCTCGACTTCCTGACGCGTTACCACGAGGACCGCATCAAGCGCCGGCGCGCGGCAGCAGCAGGCGCGGGCGTCGAGATGGGCGACGAACCCCCCAGCTCGCGCCCGCGGCTCAACCAGCCCGGCGAGCGGCGCAGCCTCAGCGGCGGGCGCGTGCGCGGACCCTCGATACCGTTCCTGCGCCGCGTCCCCAACCCTTCCTACGCCGAGCCCGACCCCCTCGGCGCCGACGACGACCACTACAGCGCCGCGCTGGGCGCCTTCGCGGCCGCCGCGACCAACCACGTGCCCGCGCAGGTCCAGCCCCGCTTCCTGTACGAGCACCCCACCCGCCCGGCGGCCCCGTCGACGCTGGCGGGCGTGCGCGGCGTGCCCAAGCTCGCCGCCACCGTCAACGGGTTCCCGTTCCTGCGCGTGCGCAAGCCGCAGAGCCTGCGGCTGGGCGCGGCCATCCACGCGCTCGAGTCCAAGCGCGGCGAGCGCATCTCGCGCATGGTCGAGATGGACCGCGGCGACGGCGCCGCGGCCGCGCGCCTCGAGGACGAGTGGGAGGAAATGGTGCAGGCGCAGCTCGTGGAGCAGGGGATCGCGCGGCGCGGGCGCGGTGGCCGTGGCGGCGGCGGCGGCGGTGGGGGTGGTGCAGACGGGCTCGACACGTTTGCAGGCTCCACGCGGTTCGGCGTCCGCTACATGCAGGCGCAGCTGCAGGCGCAGCGGCTGGACCAGCTGGAGCGCGTCAGGCTGCTGTGGGGGGTCGCCAAGGAGGAGAGGAGGCTGGCCGAGGACGAGAAGCTGACGCGTAAAAGCATCAAGAGTGAACGCCGCCGCCTGAGGATGGAGCAAGCTGCCGAAAACACAAGCCCCGGCGAGGGGGTGGAGTGAGGCAGCTTTTGAGACGGTACGAGTATGCGCAAGAAAGGCGGAGGCTTTTCTATTGAAAAAGTCCCTTGAGATGGAATGGGATATCTATAAACACCGCCCAGATTTCTCTTTCCAAAAATAACTCTCTCGTCATACAGTCATTGAGAGACGATGCGCCGAGGCAAGAAATGCTTGCCGTACATTGTCGATCCGGAACCCAGGTGATCTCCCCAGACATGTCGCCTTCTCGGTTAACTCTGTTAAGCAGCAATGTCAGTAAATCTAGCCTCGCGGTATTTTAGGATCCAGTGATCATGAGAGAAGCGCTTACTCTGCACAAAGATGGAAACATCGAGCGTGATCAATGTCTTGCGGGGGGTCGCCGGCTGCTGCGCCTGCTGGGGCATGGAAAGGTCCGGCATGAATTGCATGTTGTTCCTGGCCGTGAAGTCGCCAGCGCTCGCTGAGGGTGCAGCAAACATATCCTGGGAATCGAAGGAAACGCCCGAGAACATAAAGGTCGACATGTCGGCCAGCAGATTCTCGGAACCTGTACTCCACATATTGGGTGGCGAACGCTCCTGCGCTGACGACGGGGGAGGCAGCAAGTGCGGCCCCGTTGGCGCCGCCGTGGTCGGCAAGGCGGTCGCTGACGCCGTCCCCAAGGACCCGAAATCTCCGACTCCGCCCGCCGCGCCGCTGTCGAGCGCCTTGTATCCCATGATGTCCGGGGTGGGGAACAGGCCCTCGGGGGCGGCGGGGTACAAGGAAGAGGCGTTCCCCTCCCCAGGCGAGCCCGGCTGGTCGAACGCGGACAGGTCGACCTCGGTAGTGACGTAGTCCTGGGCGGGGGCGATGTCGACGCCCCGACGGCGCAGCCACAGCTCGACCTCGTCCGAGTCGTAAAAGTCCCCCTCGAACCCGGGCACCTTGATGCGCTGGCGGGCGTCGAGGTGCGACGAGCCCGACTCAGACACGGGCTGCGTAAAGGGCCCCATGCCGAAGCCTGCGCCGTTGCGCGGCCGCATGACGTCGGCGGTGCCCTGGTTGCCTACCGCGAAGCTACGCTGCTGCTGCTGCTGCTGGGTCCTGGTATCGACTGTGGGGGCGGCCCCGAACCGGGCTGGGTCAGTAGGGGTCGAGGACACGGTGCCCGGGGGGAAGTGCGAGCCGGCGCCGCCCAGGTGGTGGAAGGGGTACTGCCAGTAAAACATGGACTGACCCTGGGGACGGCTCAGGGCGCTGCTGAGCCGCCGGCGGATGTCGTCGGCGCTCTCGAAGGGCAGGCAGAAGCCGAAGACGCGCACGAGGCGCAGGGGCGGCGGGTTCGGCATCGAGATGAGCGACAGGGCGCGCTCGACGGCGAAGCGCTGCAGGCGCCGGCCAAACGTCGACTCGGACGCGGCGTAGGTGCGCGGCGGCGACGGCAGGGCCGGGTGCGGCAGCGGGGACGGGGCGGCGGCGGTGGTGCCGCCGCCCATGATGGAGAAGATTTGGTCCTCGGTCAGGGGGAAGCTGGCGTTGTCCATGGTCGGCTGCGTGATGGTCTCGAGCTCGTTCCACGCGGACCCGCCGATGCCGACGTCGAGGTCGAGGTTCCCGCCCAGGACCGCGTCGCCGAAGCCGTAGTTGGGCATGGAGGCGTCCAGGTTCGGGACGTATTCTTGTGAGACCACGAAGCCTCCGTACAGCATCTGCTGCGGCTGTTGCTGTTGTTGCGGCAGTGCACTGGCTCCTACAGAAGGGCGATCCGTGGCCCTCGGCACCTCTTCGACTTCCTCAGAACTTGGTGTGCCAGCCCGTGCCTTAGTTTTCCTGCCCGCGTTGTCCGCCCCGGCCGGCTCAGGGGCGTCGGCCTCATCCTCGACAGCCCCAACCTCCGCCGTCTTGCGAGCGAGGGCGACGAATCTCTCCGTGGTGGAGCGCAGGCGATCGCCAAAGTCGGGCCTGGTGTCCAGCAGGCCGCGCTGGACGGCAAAGTCGTGCAGGGCCATGAAGGCGTGGCTCATCTCCTCGTTCGTGTCGCGCAGGTCCTTGACCTGCTGCTCGAGCGTGGTGATGGCCGTCTCCTTGCGGTTGCGGTACGCGCGCTGCGCCAGCCGGATCTGCGTGCGCCTGCGCTCGGCGGCGGACTCGTCGTCGGCGGTCAGGCGGGGCCGCCCGCGCGCACGCTTCTTCTCGCCGCCGCCGCTGCCGCCGCCGGCGTCCCCTTCAGTGGCCGTCGCCGTGGTGCTGCCGCCGCCGGCGTCCCCAGAGGCCACGGGCGGCCTCCTCGCGCGCTTCCTCGGGGCCGGCACATCGTCGCTGCTGGAGGGGGCGGCGGGCCTGCGGGCGTTGTCACGGGAGGAGGAGGAGCCGTCGTCGTACTGCTCGGCGCTGAGGATAGCCAGATCCGGCTGGCCGGTCGGCATGGTGTGGCCAGTACCCCACTGCCGGTGGGGAGGTGAGCGACTCGTCGGTTCGACTGGCGGGGCCAAGCCGGGGATGCTCGGCGGGGACTGGTCGATCGATCGGATAGGGCGACTCGACCGATTGAACCTACACTGGCCGGAACCGCGCGGTCGGGTCGCTGCGTTGCTTTGGTGGGGCAAGGCTGCGTGGGTGCTTTGCCGCTTTGCTGGACAGGCGGTCAAAGGCAAAGGACAGATGGACGATGGGATAAGACGAAAGATGACACTACAACACAGCCAGACGGCCCCTTCTGAGGGATTGGGGCTGTGCCCCCTTTCTTTTTACGGAATTGCAGTGAATTCTGGTGCAACAGGCACGGGATGATGGCGTTAACGTCGGTACAGATTTGCCAGCCCAAGATGGCCGGCTGGGGAAGGCGGCGGCGCCTCTGGGGAAGGAAGACGGCGCGGTGTGGGATTTTAGTAATGCCAGACCCTGAAGTGTCGACGGGTGCTGCTGCTGGGTGGTGTTACGCCGCACCGCTCGCATTGTCCACTCACCGAGGCTTGCTCGTACTTTGACTGAGCTAGGGTGGCATCCGGCCGCAGGCGAGCTGTACCCAACGCTCCATGCGCCTGCATAATGCCGGGTGCTGACAGAGGGCGAGCGGCCACGTTCTCCATCCTTCTATGCTCTTTAGCCCGGATGCCCGCGCGAGTAATACCGACAATAGTCCGCTCGCGACCGTGCCAAAACGAAGGCTTTCCGCTGTTAGCGGCAGCCATGTACGGATGGTTTCCGTAGTCTGGCTGTCTGTGTGAAATCGCCAAGATGGGCAGATGGGCAGATAGGCAATTGGGCCGTAACTACCTGATCCAGGAACTTGGGTCCGCGGAGAGTTCTGATCCATTCCGGACAAGTCAGACGGCCGGCACCGCTGCCGAACAATAGTGTAGACACTAGTCTGGGTAAGGCGGTCTCAATGCTCGGCGCCTCGCGATGACTGATGGTTACGTGATTCCACCGCACAGACACGCCAGGCTCATCATGGCACTTTGCCGAAACGCTATGCCCACCTTCCTTTTCCACGTCAGCCGCACTCGGCCTCCCTTTTCTTAGCCGGGGCGATTCCAGTCGAATGCAGAAAAAGCAACTGGCAGGAGATTGGTGGGAGGCGTGCTGGCTGTGTCTGACCGACCGCAGCGATCGGTATTCTCCTTTGGGAACAAGGCGAGAAGGAGAAAATAACAAGCGAAGCCATTAGGCCGATCGACAATCCGTGCAGCGCTACGCGCACCATGCGCCTGGATCGACTTAGGTAACGGAAAGTCCCAGGCGGGATCGAGTCCGAAGCGGTCGTCATTCTATCATGAGTGCCAGTTGTAGTAAACTCCGTCCCATCTCCTTCACTGACGCGCTGCGCCACCGCGCCCCTGGCGTTGGTGGCCGCGGAAAGGGAAACGACTCCATCAAACAGTAAGAAACGGCACGTGATCCCCGCCCGCCAGCTGCAGGGCCCAGCCAACCCCGCCAAATTGGCTGGCGACGGGCCGCGGTGCACGTCTCAAACAGGCTCCGCCTCGATGCGATTACTGTCCACGGTTAGCGAGCCTGGCCTGGTAGTAATCCCACACTACGCCTCCGAGGCAGCACCAACAACCCCGGATTCCTGTGCTGCTGCTTTGGATATAAGAATTTGGATTGCAACGAGCCGAGAGAGCGTTTTTGTTTTATCCATCATCACACCAATCCAACAACACCAACAACAACATCAACAACAACATCAACACACTCCGCCACTTATAACTCCATCTCGTCCCAGCTCGCCAGATCTGGACACCTACTAACCGTGCCTGCTTTTCCAACTTTACCATTGGGCTTCGTTTATATCTAGCAACCTTTACTTTTCTCCTTTTTCACTTTTTCTCCATTTTCCTCCTTTCTCTCGAACCACCACCCACCACAATCGCAAATCACAATAGGGACCATCGCCAAATCGTCGACCCCTGAAATTCAAGTCTAACCAACCCCCCTCCACCCCCTCCGCGCAGCGTTTCCTATTTACTACCAACTCACCAGAACCCACAGACATCAAAATGCGTTGCCAGACCTTCGCCGCCTTCCTGCTCGCCGCGGCCCTGCCGGCCATCGCCTCGGCGGTCGACGCTAACACGCAGGGTTCGGGCCACGACTCGCGGCTGATCACCCGCGACGACGCCGGCCAGACTGACTTTTACGACCCGGAGCACAGGCGCCAGCTGATTGCCCGCGGCCTCAGCGACGTCGAGGACTTCCCGCCCCAGGTGCAGGCGCGCTCCGATGACGCCGAGGCCGGGGAGGACTTTGCCGACGCCGAGGCCGAGGACAGCGCAGAGGCCGACGACGACGCGTTTGCTGACGACGACGCAGAGGCCGACGATGATAACGCGGATGCTGCCGATGATGAGGCCGACGCCGGCGACGATGAGGCCGACGCCGGCGACGACGAGGCTGACGCTGCTGATGACGAAGCAGATGCTGGCGACGATGAGGCCGACACTTCCGACAATGAGGCCGACACTGCCGACAATGAGGCCGACACTGCCGACGACGAGGCCGACGCAGGCGATGATGAGGCTGACACGGCCGACGACGAGGCCGATGCCGGCGACGACGAGGCGACGTTTGACGACGACAACGCCAGCGCCGCCGCCGGCGACGACGAGTTCGCCGACCTCCTTGATGACACTGCTAACACCGACGATAACGCCAGCAGCGAGGACGCCTCCTCCTCTGCCCTGGACCGCCGCCGCGAGGAGACGGTCGAAGTCGACTCCGCCGAGGACGGCGAGGGCGAGTCCGAGGTCCTGCGCCGCGGCGTTACGGGCGAGCCAGCCTTTGTCAGGCCCGTCGCCAGGCGGCACCCGAGGCACTTCCGTGGCTTTGCTTAAGCCGACGGGGATAGGTTGTTTCGTTTCCTTTTGTTGTTGGGGTTGACTATTTCTTTTTTTTTTTCCCCTCATGTTTTTGATACCTTTTGGCGTTTGGAGCGGGTTACAGTCTAAAAAGAGCGCCGCTTGATTTTGTGCGGCGCTGGATATTAGTGCAGTTTTAGTCTGCATCTGATCGAATTTGAACATTCCACCTTCTTCACATGTCCCCTCTCTTCTCTTCGCTGAAATACAACGGGCCTCATTCTGACCTGTGGCTCTCATTCTTCATTAAAGGTAATCTTGGGTTTACATCACCTATAGTCACGTTTCTACCTATTACAGCACGCCCTAGTAGTGCTCGTTAAGCGCCCTCTCCTCGGCCTCGAGCGGCCTGACCACGCCGTCGATCCACTCCTGCTTCTTGGGATCCGAGTACTGCGGGTACGGGCGGCGGCAGTGGCTGCTCTCGAGCGGGTACGACCGCAGCTTGGCCACGATGTGCTTGGTGCCGTTGATGCCGCCCTTGCCGAACCCCCACTCCATTTTGGCCAGCTCGATCTGGGCCGCCTCGGCCTCCTTGACCTGGCCGGCGCGGTGCAGGTCAAATATGCGCACGCACGCGCGCGGGTACAGGTTGGCCACGCCCGTGATGGCGCCGATGCTGCCCAGGCCCATGGCGGGGACCAGCCAGTCGCTCTGGCCCGCGAGCGTGAAGAACTCGCCGGGCTTGTACTGCGCCGACACGCGCGCCACCTTTGCGATGCCGCCGCACGTGAGCTTGACGCCGATGATGTTGGCGTGCGCGCCCAGCGCCGCCAGCATGTCCGAGTTGACGTCGAGGCCGGCCACGACGCCCGGGAAGTTGTAGATGACGATGGGGACCGGGCTGGCGTCGGCCAGCTCCCGGAAGAAGCCCACGATGGTGTCCTCGTTCATGGCGAAGTGGAAGTAGCTGGGTGTCAGCACGAGCGCAAAGTCAGCGCCCGCCGCGGCCGCCTGCCTCGTCTCGGCGATCACCTGCTGCGTGCTCTGCCCGCCGCAGCCCAGCGTGATGGGCATGTCGCCGCGTCCGTTGGCAGTGGCGATCTCGCGCGCCGCGACCACCAGGTCGCGCTTCTCGTCTGCTGACAGCGTCACGGCCTCGCCGTTGGTGCCAGCGATAACGACTACGGTAAATCAGGTTTGTCAGCGCCATGTCCTTCTCTCTCCATGGATCGCAAGGCATTACGTACTGCCGTGCAGCCCCGACTTGACCAGAAACTCAAAGTGCTTCTTCTGCACAGCCCAATCGATGCCCTGCTCTTGCGTGCCCTCGAACCACGTTAGGCTGGGCACGTGGATCCCGGGAGGGAAGGCCTTCTTTGCTGTGGACGTCATTCTGTGTGGACTTGGTGTGAGGGTATCAAGAGAAACGTAAAATCAGATGTGATGGCCTGCCGTGGGTGTGGCCTGGTGTCTAGGTTGTGGGGGTATCTCGCGACGTTAAAAAAAGGTTCTAAGTCTTGTACAAAAGGCTCGGGAGATATTCGCCCGGAGCTGTCCGTCTACATAAAGAAAGAAAAAAACTCTCGCCTTTCGCTGACCGCGACTCGTGCTGTCCCAATGACGGAACGAGCCGGCGAGGGCGGTGACCCCTAAGGCTGTAACGTGGGCGTCGAGGACCTCCGCTCAGGGGTCTCCCCCGCCTCGAGGTCGTCAGATCCAGCGCGGCCCCCGCGGCGGCGGAGACAAAGCACCCTCGGGACCGGGAAGCGTGGCTCATCGATCGGCTAGCGGCGGAGTAGGGAATGGAGACACTCCCCAAGGCTCCACCCGTCGGCTACCGCTAGGCAGGTTAGGCGAGCCGATGACCGCACGCCTCCTAGACTACCGATGGCGGACACGCCCCTCGGAGCCAAACCGGAGTCATCTCAGAGACTATCACGCAACTGGAGAGGTGGGTGTATTTCGATAATACTTGTCATCAAAGTCAGGTCATGTGGAAAAGCAGAGGTGTTCCCCATGGAGTGAGGTCCGTAAGGAGGAGACCTGCGGGGACTGACCCATCGGCCCTCGAGCACTTTTGAGTCATGCGAATCTTGTCCGGCGGTGTAGAGAATGTGGTCCTCCATGCTATTTCTACTTGTAAACTGATGATGTCCCGCTCTCGGTAACTCTTCACCGGTAGACGCAGTAGCCGTAGACTAGAATACCATGTCGCACAAAGACCTCCCAGGCAAGACTGCAGCATCCGAGGGGGACGATGTCGTCTATCTCGAGACGTCCAGCGTGGGCCTCGAGACGCCTCCACACAATGAGCCTCCAATCATGGACCGTGAGCGCAAGGAGAAGGACTTGGTTCGAAAGATTGACCTTCGAATGATGCCGCTGATGGTGTTGCTCTGTATGTGTCCCGGTCCCGCCCTCCGTTTCAGGCTTATGGGAGTTAGCTAACCCGGCCGGTGAGCCAGGCGTGCTCAACCACATCGACAGAAACAACATCGCGACGGCGCGGCTGGGTAGCTTCGAAAAAGACATTGGGCTACACGGCACACAATACAACACCATCATCAGCACCTTTTTCGTTGGGTACATCCTTACCCAAGTGCCGACAAACATGATCCTCAACAAGATGAGGCCGTCGGTGTTCCTCCCCATCGTCATGGTGTCGTGGGGAACGGTTAGCGCATGCACTGGGGCGGTGCAAAACTACCCCGGCATGGTGGTGCTGCGCTTTCTTTTGGGCTTTGTCGAGGCCCCATTTTTCCCCGGGGCTCTGTTTCTCTTCAGCTCCTGGTACACCAAGAAGGAGCTGGCCAAGCGCATCTCGACCCTGTTCGCGGCAGGCCTGATGGCCGGCGCCTTTAGCGGGTTCCTAGGGTCGGCCATCATGGGCGGCATGGACGGGGTCGCGGGACTGGCAGACTGGCGCTGGCTCTTCATCATCGAGGGCGCCATGACGATCCCGGTGGCGGGCGTCACCTTCTTCGTGATCCCCGACTACCCGGCCGACACAAAGTGGCTGTCGACCGAGGAGCGGGCGCTGGCGGTGCTGAGGCTGGCCGAGGAGGCCGGCGAGGACCCCGCGGACCAGGCGGACACGACGGCGATGCAGGGCCTCCGGCTCGCCTTCGGCGACATCAGCCTGTACATGATCTGGATGATGCAGCTGGGGCTCAACACGGCGGCGGCCTTCACCAACTTCTTCCCGACCATCGTGCAGACGCTGGGCTACTCGCAGCGGGAGACGCTCCTGCTGAGCGCGCCGCCGTACGTGTTCGCGGCGGTCCTGGGCATCGCCAACTCGTGGCACAGCGACGCGGCGCGCGAGCGGTGGCTGCACGTCGTGTGGCCGCAGGTCCTCTGCAGCGTCGGCTTCGTCGTCTCGGCGGCGACGCTGCACGTGGCGGCGCGGTATACGGCCACCTTTATGATGATGTCGTTGTACGGGTCCTTTGGCTGCGTCCTGTCGTGGGTGTCGACGACGCTGCCGCGGCCGTCGGCCAAGCGCGCCGTCGCCTACGCCGTCGTCAACGCAGGGTCCAACCTGGCGTCCATCTACGCCAGCTACTTCTACCCGGCCACCCAGGGGCCGCGCTACTGGCAGGCGAACGTAGCAAACGTCGCCTTCTCAGGAGCCTGCATTGCCATGGCTACGACGCTGCGTTTCTACCTGGCCTGGCGAAACAGGGCCCTGGACGCGGCCAGGGACGAGGACATGACGACCGAGGGGACTGCGGTGGGCACTCGGACCCTCGCCCTGGCTGCCAGGTGGCAGTGCACTCCAGACTACCGGTATACTCTGTGAGGCTGCTACTGTGTATATGTAAAGGTATCTAAGGAACTCCTACTCTGCCTGGCATGGATCGAGGCAGATGCCTCTTTGAGCGGACGTCGATTTTGGGACACACATCGGATGGATTCGCTGGATTGATGGAAAGTTCCTGGAGCCGGTTAGAATAGACTTTCGGTCTGCTGTCTGCTGCCTGCCGGGAGTCGCGAAGGAATGCGGCTACGATGCGACCGTTGGATGGACCTTCCTAGCGCGGAATGGGTTGCTTTTTAGCGGCAGTTTAGTGTGCTTAAAGTTTTTGAGTAAATGCCGGTCAGCGCACGTCAAACCCATCGCCCATGGTGACGATTCAACCCACCAGAAGGGGAGCGCCCCACAGCCATCCGCCAAGGGACCCCCCCCCCCCCCCACGACGACGACGGACG